CACATTAAAAAAATACAGGAATTAAAGAGCTAACTTAAAATTAAACAGAAAAATAACCAAAACAATTCAGTGATCAAATTGAAGTCATGCAATTGAATAATCAAGTACGGTACATGTAGTACACATACACAAGTTAAAAATACAACACACAGTAATTAGATCGGGCTGAAAAGCAGTCAGAGAATTAATCAACATTAGACTACAATTTGGACAACATGGGATAGGTAGCCGCAGTACATCGATGTACCAGCTGCTGTGACCATACATCGAATGATTTACTGTATTGTTTGAATCCTTCGTTATAACTGATAGTTACATCTGGTGCTATAAACATGGACTTTGCATGCAATGGGTGGCACCTGTCACACATAATTATTTTATATTTTATTGCCCAGCTTAGATTTATATCAAACAACCAATGATTCTTGTCGGTCACTAATAATGCTGCCAGCCTGTTTGACTATTTTGTCAAACAGGAAGAGGGGAAGAATGCTCTGTACATGTAAAATTGATATGTAAAACTTGTGTTGCCAAAAGCTTTCAACCTTGCGGATAGTGTCACTTGATAGTATTGGGGCTTTCCGGTACATCCAGCTAGAATTTGAACCTACATCCAGCTGAAAGGATAATGGACAACATTATTAGGCCCTACAAGTATTCAAAAACTAAAATCTTTCATTTCTCATTAATCAAAGTTTCAAAGACATTAGGGTCTTGCAATGCATTGTCACACATGGTGACAGTAAATCCAATTGCAAGACGAGAAAATATTGCCTAATGGTTTGTAAAATATATACTTCGTATGAAACTTGTTTTGAGTTAAAATGAGTACCAATTGAAAAGGAATGATAGTTTATATCTCGTGACTTCAACCAACGCCTACCCTAAACCCAAAACCTGCAAAAAAAAAAACTAATTACAACTTTTTCAATGTCACTGAACAATATATTGAATGTTCTATGAAAACTCACTTAACAATTGAATGTGTTGAATTATGTTATATTTTAGTAAAATAAAAAAAATGATGTCGTGTTTACTTGTTCATATATTGTTCACAATATTTTCATTGTATATTTTATGCATTACTCAAAAAGGAATTCCTGTGCACTAAGTAATTGGGGCCTTCAAATTGGAATGCCCTTGATCGAAATTTCCCTGTACTTCTTTCAATATACCTGCTGCAGAAATATCGGTAGAAAAATTCGCTGTCCTATAGCCATACCTTCCTTACTTCAATGTCAAATGCATCAAGCACTACTTGCGACCAAACATAACCGCCTCCCTAGCCATTCTGGTTTGCCTTCTGCCATTCCAAAATCACGGAGTACTTCCATCAGCCAAGCATACCCTTCCCTGTCAGCTGGGTCAATTCTTTTAATCACTTCGTGAAAATGGTCTCGTGTGTGATGTATGAGCATCTGCATGCATGCATTGAACACATGAATCTTCATAAAGTCCTGAAGATGCTGTCTCAATTTACTTTCCCATTCTCCTGTCTGAAAGGGCAACTCTCGTAATTCTTTGGGGTTTAGCCCTTTCTTCTCAAGTCCGTATAAGTGATGATATTTGTGGCTCTCAAGTATTCTTGTTCTTTTTTCCCAGTCTTTCAGTTTGTGAGATTCCACAATCCATTGTAGTTCCTTTTCCAAATCACGCAGTCCATGTGTTTTAAGAAAGCCCGACAGTTCAGTTTCCAAATGGTTTGTTTGATGATCCTGGAAAATGTGTGATAAGCTTTCTCGCCAACTGCTTGCACACAGCTCATCATCATTGGTAATCTTTCGAAATGCAATTTCCAATGTATTCACATTTCCGTGCTTGAGGATTTTCTCCAACATATTCTCCCAATTACTGCCTCCATCATGACATGCTAAGATTTTCTTTACTACAGTTTTCCAGTCATTACCTTGTAGTGTGTGCAAAGAGATGCTTCCATTTCTGTTTAATCTGTCTAACGCAATGATGTTTTTCTTACATTGCTTACATTGTCCATAATACACATTAGCAAATGTAATAGTGAATCGGACCCCATGTTTTTGTTGAAACTCGAGTATTTTTTCGGCGCATTGATGACATGGAGAAAGATTGATGTACATGACAATTTCTTCATTTTTTTTATTTTCTTCAAGCCATTCCAAAGCAATAACTTCTGCATGAGTGGCAGGGATACCCGTACCCCTCAATTCACTGGAAAACAGTTTGCCATTGACAAGCAGGACCGCTTTTTTTTGGCCAGTCATCACCAATAGGACATGACCTTATGAATGTTTCGATGTCCTCTTTACTCTTTGTTATGTCATCCATCCTCAACACCTGCTGCAGCTGAAATTGTATCTTGAAAAGAAGTGAAAGCAGAAAGAAGAAAATATGTAGGGTAAATGAGTGCATGAGTTAAAAGAGCTAAATTGTGCTCTTCGCGTATGGGTGGCCAACATTTAGGAAGGCTTGTTTTTTGTTTTTTAATTTGTGAAGACAGCTTCATTCTAAATTAATATCAGTATTACACTTCATCATTTCAGTTCTTCACAAGAGAAAATCGTATTCACCTAGAATTTAAATGCCCATTTAAAAAAAAGATGTATCTTTTTGCAATTTAATGAGCTATTTGGGCACTCTTTTTGTGTGTGTCTACTGAGTGTTTTGCATTCATTGTTGAATGCACCTGCCGAACACAAATAAATTGTGGATCAAATTTATGGAAAATAAAATGTTCTACACCTCACATGCTATGCTCAAATCAATAATACATTGTTAAAAAAAAAATTTGTTAAAAAAAATTGATCATTTGCATATTGTATTATGTGAAATATTCACATCACTGTTTATTCCCAATGAGAAAGACATTATTAGCCAAATGCACTTGCCACACATTTCCTGTACTTTTCCAGCATATTCTCGATTTATCATTTTTTCGAGGGTGGGCAAAAACATTTGCCCCCCCCCCCACCCCATTAAATTAACAACAATATGACTGTTGTTTTGTTTTTTGGGGTTGCTTTTATAGGCCCCCCCCCCCGTTGCCCTTGCCCTCCCCCCCCCCCCCATCTCGCGACGCCCATGTTCCCGTCTTGCATTCCTTGAAAAAACCTTATACATGTAGTTTTCAGGAACTTTTATGTTGATATATCACTGTTTGACATTTTCATGATAAGGAACATTTTTGGGATGAAAATGTTGACAGTTCCTAGTGATTTCCATTGTGCCGGATTGGTTCAAGGGCCTGTAAAGTCTGGAGACTTGCAACTCTTTTTGTTGGGTTTGGTGTAAAATATAATCCTGAAGGCATGGCTAACTTCCAGAAATGTCTTTCCTTGTAAAAGATGGACTTTGGACTATTCAACGTGGTTCAAATGAACATTAAGAAAAAATGCGCTTACCTCCCAAAATGAAGGAGTATCCACGAGTCGCAGCTTTGCAGGTTGTTTGATGAATGCGCTAAAAATGGTAATGAGCGTGTGTTGCAAGTTATAATAAATACAAAATGTGTGATATTGATTTCCCAGGAAATCATTCATGGGAATTAATAATCCTTTAGAACTTTTTAACACCTATGAATGACATCTGCTCATGGGGGGAATTTCAAAATCCAGAAATGCCATCAGCGGTTTTATAGTTTATTGTTCGTGTTTCCATGAGATTTATGGGGAGTTTTGTAAGGAAACAATGAAAAAAAAAACCCTTCACCCTCACAAAAAGTGTGCTTTTTCTTTAATGGAAAACAGTGGCTTTAAATATTTCAGTCTGATTCTGTATTCATTGATGTCAAAGTTCATGGAAGTAATACAAAGTGACTTGAGTTAAAAAGAAATAATACACATTGCTTCATGTGCATAGTGGCTGTTACTAGTTAACACAAAAACATTTGCCCCCCCCCCCACCCCATTAAATTAACAACAATATGACTGTTGTTTTGTTTTTTGGGGTTGCTTTTATAGGCCCCCCCCCCGTTGCCCTCCCCCCCCCCATCTCGCGACGCCCATGTTCCCGTCTTGCATTCCTTGAAAAAACCTTATACATGTAGTTTTCAGGAACTTTTATGTTTTTTCTTTAATGGAAAACAGTGGCTTTAAATATTTCAGTCTGATTCTGTATTCATTGATGTCAAAGTTCATGGAAGTAATACAAAGTGACTTGAGTTAAAAAGAAATAATACACATTGCTTCATGTGCATAGTGGCTGTTACTAGTTAACACTTTCCAATGATGTCCTCATTTGGGCGAGGCTCAGTGCATTGTTGTTCACACAATGGATTTAGGATATTGGATCACATTTCTCACAACTGTAATTTCCAGTATTGTCATATGTGTTTCCTCAATTGCACGTTGTACTCCAAAGTTGCAGACTTCCACATAGAAATAAAGTAAAACCATTCTTCTACACTCTCAAAAGTGTTGACCTACATTCACACTACAATATGGAGGAGACATGAGAAAGATTGCAGTCTTTAAATTCTAACATAAAATGTATAGCTTCCTCCAGTGTCCTTCATGCATGAAGAGGATAGGGAAGAAACGTTTTTCTTAAATGTCAATCTGTTTTAATATCCTTAACCTTCAAAATGTCTCGGGCATGTGCTTTACCATTTGCCTTACAAAATGCATGTTCTGTCACTTACGAAAACTACCGTGTCTATGAAATAAGGTTATAGGTATGTCTACAAGTACGTTTATACATGTAGGAGTGTAAAAAAAATAAGAAAGATAATATTCCTAATCCATAGATATAAGGACTTCAGACTATACACAAAGGGAGGGATGTTGCTACACATCCTGTCATGCTTGTATCAGAAAATAAATCCGATACAGGCTGTCAGATAAGAAATAGTTCAACCAATGTCATGATACTTAAACCTGCAGTTGTTTGGTGGGGTGTGGTAAGTACCGGTACGTGCAGTTTATGGTTTACTGGTATTTCATATCATATCATTCATTAGATGGAATTCGCGTCGAGGTGATGTAAATCAAAATTAGGCCCTTCACCGATGTATAAACACTGTATGCTCATTTTGTTACCTCCCGAGTGAAAGTTGGAAAAAATCACACGGGTGGGACTCGAACCCATTTACAAGTGGGTGAAGGGCAAGACCTTATATTGATTTACATCACCCCGACACAAATCATATGAATAGTTTAATTGCGGTGCCACTGCTATGTGCACATCAGATCTGAACCAGCCAACTGATCCCACAAGCTCGCTGGTGGTAAATCATCTGCACTAAAAAGCAGGAAGTCGTGAGTCCCACCCGAGTGATTTTTCCAACTTTCACTCGGGAGGTAACACACTGAGCATACGTCGGTGAAGGGAAAAACCTAATATTGATCGATATCATACCTGTTGGGAAAAGTGACCACGTCATTTTACAATCCACTGGATTTCGCTTTTGACACTCAATGCCAAATTTGTGTTTTAACACTGCCACACATGGCTATCTTGCCATCATGGGTGAAAGTCAGGTCAACATGACCGTCCAGGCCAGTAATCAGTGATTCAATAAACTTGCCGTCTGAATTGTAATGATGGAGTTGGGTTTCTTCCTCGTCACACACTAAAACGAGGACATAGATGTCACCGGCTTGATCACAACGCACTCCAAGAGGTCCAACGTTCTCAGCCATGTTTACCGTAAATATGTTGTTGCCCTCGAAATCAATGCAGATGATCTTCTCTTCCTTGTAACTGGTGTAGAGGAGACGCTTGTTGCTGATGGTCAAGGCTTTGGCAATCATCGGAGCAGGCACTGTTCTGATGAGAGACCCATCCGTGTTGTGTAGAGATATCTGCTCCTTGTCCTCAAAGCCAACTGCTATCAAACTGTCATCCAACGCAATGCATGTTGGCTTGCTGTCATCCGATTCCTCGTCAAAGTCACCTGCCGTGAATTGTTGAATGAGTTGGTAGTCCCTGTTGAAGATGTTGATTTCGGAGTCAATCAAGACGTGAAAGTGGTCATCCTTGTCGACAGCCAGGCCTGTTGGATGTTTCATGACGTTGGGGTCCTCGTCACAACCTTCAAGCTGACTAACAGTGAGGACATTTAGAACTGCACCTTCAGAACTCAACTCAGTGAAATTCCGTTGCGTTGTGTTGACCACCAGCATGTCGCCAGTGGAAAACGCTGCGATAGCACGCCCCTTGGCCCATGATTGATGCAGTCTTTCCCACTTTTCCTCCACCAGAATGGTACCCAATTCAACTTTTTTGTCAGTGTCTCTGAAACCAATAAACGAGAGGTCGTGATTCAGTGCCCCTGTCTCTGTTTTGGCCACGTCTCTGTAGTCATGCAGAAGTTCTTGTCTCAGCTTTAAGATCCTGAAGCAGTTTTCATGGGTCATCTCACTGCAAACCATCTTCAGGGTCTGCGTTGCAAATGCCATTTCAGCAAGTCTCTTATCTTTTTGTCTGTACTTCGCTTGAGCCATTTGCTTCAGTTGCAATTCCTGCCGTCTGATTTGTCGGATTTTCTTTTCTGCATTTTGAGAAATTTGCTTGTTTGTTGCAGCAAGCTTGACAGCCAATCTGCTCCGCAAAGGTGTGCAGCATTCTGAAAGCTCGACTCTTTCATCATTGCCGTTCCTTTGCGAATTTTCATCATTGGCCTCTTGAAGAAAGATCTCGATTGCATCACTGAAATTGACAGGTGTATGCATGGGTTCTTCGTGACTAGAGGAAGCACAAATTTTGCAAATCAGCATCTCACATGAGACACAGTAGGAATTTAGTTCGTGATTTGGATGGATCCCACACTTAGAAATGTTCATCTTTGAGTCCTTCTCGGCGTCAAACTCACCCTGGCAGGGTGTAATATTGTGAGCCCTCAAAGCAGCCCAACGTTGATGCGCCTTCTGGCACTCCTTACAAAGATATTGCTCACAGTCCAAACATCGAGAAATAGCCTCACTTTCTTCGTCACATGCCTGACAACTAACCTTTGACCCTTGACGGAGCAAGATCTGTTCTTGTTTGATTATGTCCTCTATCAGGCTGAGCAGCGTTCCATTGTCAGTTAACTTTGCCACTCCACCTTCGGGCAACATAGTTTCCATCTGACAAAGCGGACATATCATCCTGTCATCATCTGGTTGTTGGCTCAGCTTGAGTTCTTGGAGGCATCCGAGGCAGAAACTGTGGGAGCAGTCCAGCATCTTGGGTTCTTGGTAACGGGCGTGGCAGATGGAGCATTCCAGATGACCTTGGATGACTGAAGCAAAAACTGAATCTGTACTTGCAGCCATCTTGGGTTTCCTGCAATATTTGGCAGAGACAGTGGAAAAGAGAACGACCATTAAGAGAACACATCATAACCAAAATTGTCATAGATGAAAGTATGTTTGATCTCTTAGAGATTTGTAATCATTTTTATTTTGTGTGCATTAGGCCGAAAAATAGTGTGTGTGTCTAAAGGTGATGCGTTAATATATCCCAGATTGTAGATACAGCTAATTTGAGCTAAATATTTTATTTTGTTCATGTTAGCATGTTGTACTTACTATATTAATATACATGTAGGGTACTCCCAACGGTATTCTGTTTAATCAACCTGCTTATTTGTTTAATTTACCAATAACACACAGAGAGAAAAATTGCGCGGGGAAGTCTTTTTATTTTCAAAATAAACTTTATTTAAAATTTGAGGTCGGCTAAATATATTTTGCTGCAGAAGACCAAGGTATGGGTCGGGTTACCGTAGACTCTCTATTGTCTTGTATACGGTGTTTTTGTTTTGGTGCAATAGTGTTTTCTTGCTTGGAAATCATTTTGTTTTGAACTCGATACCTTTTACAGGTACTTGAACTGAACTTGAAATTTGTCCCCTAATGTTTATTTGCCATCATTGCACAGCTCATGAAATAGCTATTACTTCTTTGCATGGTTCATTATGCCATAAAGTGTCATCGTACCTGCACAGCAGAATCCATACTTAACAATTGCTGACTGCTGTGATGTGGAATATGCAGTTTTGAACACAAGGCGCACATTATATAGCATACTATGTGCCCCTTGGGTGTTAAAAACGGCATATTCCACTCCACAGTCAACAATTGTTTTGTTTTATCGTGTCAATAAGTCAAAACGATAAACTATTGTAACTTACTATACCAGAACTAAATTAAATCAGTGCAGCGTAAATTGATAAGTTTTCCTGCCAGACATGAGACAAGAGGTATTGCATGCAGTATTCGGCCGCAAGCGGCGTGCACGGTGCATGCAACATGCATCGGATAATATTGTATCTAGCACAGGTTGAACGCCCTCTTCAATGCATTACGACTAACTAATTGTAACACCTGTGCTAATTTTATGCATTTTGACAGACCAGACATGCCAGACATGCGGCTGTTCTCAACCAATGAAATTACAGTATCCAAAGACATGACATATATAAACAAATGTAAATTAGAGGATATGCGCATAGCCGTTTTCCAACTTGCGAGATTTGACCTCAGTGAGGTCATAGTGTGCATCTCTCTATAGGACTGATGACATCATACGCATATGGTCTATTGTTGGAACCAAATTGCACTTTAGCATGCTGCTACGTGGAGTAGCAGTGTTTCCGTGAGCAATGTAATGGCGGCCATAGACATGATATAAGACATGATAGATTTTTATTTTTATCCATGTTTGTGCAATAGTCAACGACAACGTACAGTCCATTGGATCCGTCTGTGTCATCCAACTGTCCAGTTTAAGTAATGAAATCAGAATGTGCACTCACCTATGCCTATATGGTGTTAAACTTGAAATATTCCTCAATTTGCACAGTGTGATGTACAAAGCACACGTACAATGTACATGTACATGAGAGTGGTACGGTGTTCAGAGGTCAGGTCAAGGACAACACGGGTGCTACCATTATTGAGGAGGGATTCTGGGAACCAAGTACATGTGATTATTACGCACATGTGTTTTGCGTTTGTTTTCTTTTCCTGTGATCCTTGGTTTTTTGGAAATGGGTACAAGAATTTAAAAACAAAAAAAGACTCAATTTGTTGATGAAATAGGTAAAAGAATATAAAAAAAAGACTCAATTTGTTGATGAAATAGTTTGGCATATAGGCCTAGTATACTGATTAATTGGCAGGGGCCAGACAGAAGACCACGTTATCTCTGGTTTCCTTGTCATGAAACGGCTGAGAATATTTCTACTGCCCCCCCCCCCGATGGGATATGCCAGTCCATTATACTCCACTAATGTTTGTACCCATTCACTCCTGGGTGGAGAGATCTACAAGTGGGGGTGAAGTGGCTTGCCTAGGGACACAACATAGCCATGCAGAAACTGGATTTGAACCCCTGCCCCTCTGATCATGAGTAACAAACCCCAGGCACTAGACCACACTCCCCCATGGCAAGGAGATGTTGTCTCCTCAAAAATATTCACTGGTGCACGGTGTATAGGCCATATGGTTATTTTTGCTTATTAAGAATTTTCAAAAAGCAAACGTTTCAAAAATATATTATTTTAAGTCAGTGACAGCTTTAAGTTGTAGCGCTTTTAGATTTTCAGATAGAATTTTCCATTCATCTCAATGTTTAGTTAATAATTATTTCTGTGAAGTAAACAATGTTATTTTTGAACTTTGTTTTGACTAAAGAAGTTTATGTATTGACTACCTATTCCCAGACATAGTAAGGGAAATGACAAAGGACACTATACTGTGTGAATAATTTCTCACTTTACTGGAGACTTGCATTACAGTGATGATTATTGAAGAATTTATGGATGCTCAATTAGAATTATAAAAAAAATAATACAAGTTGTCAATGTTTGCATTTAGTATAGATATCATGCACTTTATGAGTATATAGGCAAGCTGTACTAGGCCTGAACCTGGGTCCCACAACATATGTTGCATTTTGCTTCAAGTTTTACTTGCTCCCGTTGCTGTTTAAATGCATCTGTTTTAACATAATGTGTCCTATATTTGATTATTTTCAGTATAGAGATAGCTAAAGAAATGATGCGTATATTTTCATTCACAGCTCTTATTTGAAATATGTGTACATAATACAACTTATTAAAAATGGCCCTCCTCGTGCTCTTCAACAAATTGAATGTTTTTCTCATACTCAACTCATTTTCATTGTTTTATAAAATTGTTTTAACGTGGAAAATCTTTGCTTCTATTCATTGGTTGCTGTTGAAGCTGTTACTTTCTAAAATGTCAACTATATTTGTCAACCATTGGGCTCTTTAAAAGAGTGGAAGTTTCACTCTTTTAGAGTGGTTTTTCACGAAGGGCTATATTGAAAAAAAAAACACTCTAAAAGATGAAAACTACACTCTTAAAGAGTGAACCTCCCACAATTTAAAGAGTCACATGGCGGACAACTCCTTTCGTGTGGCTCTTCACTCTTATATTATGAGAGTATGCACAAAAACATCTGCCTGAATTATTGTTGCTGCAAATAATTCGAAATTCTGCAAAGTAATTATTTCGTAACTAAACGTTGGCGGCTTTTGTTTGTTTGATGTCTCATTCAAAAGTGAGAACTGTTGTATTGCCAGAAAACGAAAAGAATTCTATTTTTCAGGGCAAAATATATAACAAGGATGGGGAGAGCAACTTAAGGTTGATATAATCAACTTGAAAGTTTAAATTGCCGTGTTGCAAACAGCGAAGCTCAATTTACATTTCACAAAATACATCTTCGAAGTTCGATAATTGCCAATGCTAACACAATTTTAAAAATCGGGGAGGGTGAAGTTTGGATAAGTTGTTCGTTGGTGCTGCTTACATTTTCAAAACTGCTGTAATTATAATCATTATAACCGCAAATGGTGCCTTAGGAAGACATTCCATTCTTGTGCACAAACAAAAAACAAGAAAACTCTCCCATAACTCATTTAAAAGTACATGTACTTCAGTAAAGTAATTATTTCGTAACTAAACGTTGGCGGCTTTTGTTTAGTTACGAAATAATTACTTTGCAGAATTTCGAATTATTTGCAGCAACAATAATTCAGGCAGATGTTTTTGTGCATACTCTCATAATATAAGAGTGAAGAGCCACACGAAAGGAGTTGTCCGCCATGTGACTCTTTAAATGTGGCGGTTCTACGGGGGGGGGGGGGGGGGGGGCTTTAGCCCCCCATTTTTTTTGTCTAGTCCCCCAAAAATAAATTCCATAAAGAAAAAAATGCACTAGCAAAATTTAAGAATGTGATGTACATGCGAACGGGTCTCCCCCTAAATAAATAGTCGTGAGAAGGGTGCATTTTGTACACTTAGTGTGCATAATTGTAGGATTTTATCAGCGCTCCCCATTGAACATATGCCCCCCCCCCCCCCCCCCCATTGATTTTTGGAGGACTAAGTGTCTGGAGAAAATAACCGGTCTACATTTCAGCACGCCTCCCTGAAAAAAAATCTGGATCCACCCTGCTTGCCCCCCAAAAATATTGGCTCTAGAACCGCGCCTGATGTACTTTCCCCTCCTGAAACTTTTTTATTTTACTTATATTGCCGACCTAAGGCAGTATGTTAAGCATTTTGCCAAAGACAATTTTGTTTCCTAAATGTTTCCTCAATGTACAATTTAATGTTGTTTAGCAGGTATGTATGTGTCTTATTGGTGTACTATAGCTCCATTATAGTTGCTGAATTCTTAAAATTTAACGTGCATACATGCAGGACAAGAATTTGGAAATCCATCATGAAAACTCAATCCACATTATGCTTATTCTGGTATGAATTTCAAATGGGCAGCTGCATATAAGGTGAGCACAGAAAAAAACCCGCATTTATATGACACAATTCATTGCTATCGAACATAATGTCATGGGAGGAGTTTGAGGCATTTTTGTTTTCATTGTAAGAAGTTTTGTTGTTTTATCTGCTCACCCGGCTGCAAACGAAGTTAACTCACTCAAGTTACAATTTGCTCTTTTTGGTCTCAGCATTCAGTTAATGACTATTGGAAAGGAATACTCTGCTCAAGTCAGTAACATGCAATTTACTGAACATGCAGTTTCATTTTTCCTTGCCTTTTCTTTTACACTCTGTGATAGATTTTTGTCAAGTTGTAACAGCCAATCACAACAATCCTCCCATTTGGAGTGTAGGCTATGCGAATAGGCCAACTTCTACTCAAACTATGTTTGACCGAGGTGTCAATGTAAATGCCCTCTGCACTGTAACGATGGATTTGATACTCCGACTCTTTCACGCCTCCGATACACTGGCAGTATGCAGCAACATAGATATCACCAGCTTTGTCGCAACACAGCCCATGGGGAGCAGAATTCTCGAACGAGTCAACTGTGAAGATGTTGTTGCCATGGTAATCAAGACACATGAGTTTCTTCTTGTCCTTGTTGGTGTAAATAAGCTGCTTGTTGCTGATGGTCAGATAGTCACCAATCATAGGAGCAGGGAGTGTTCTGATGAGAGACCCGTCTGGGTTGTGTAGAGATATCTTGTCCTTGCTCCCGTAACCTACTGCTATCAGATTGCTATTATCCACTGCAATGCATGTTGGTGTAGCCTTGATGTCTGCTTCTTGGCTCGGTTTGAACTGTTGAAGGAGCTGGTACTCCTTGTTGAATTTATTGATCGTTCCATCGTTGTTAGCAACAAATAGAACATCATCCATGGTTACAGCCATGCCACTTGGATTGTTCAAGAGGTGAGTTTCTTTAGACTCATGAATGTAGTACTCTTCCTGATCATTCAGACCTAGTATAGTGATGCGTTTCCCATATGCCATAGCAATGTTACCTGTAGAAAATGTAGCAACTGAGGAACCCGTCGCCTCAAATGCCTTCATCAATTTCCACTTTTCTTCCAGTTTCAGTGTTCCAAGTTCAATCTCATGACACTTCTCTTTGCAAGGAATGAATGACAGGTGACTGTTCACCTCTTCCCAAGTTTTCTCTTTCACATCTTTGTATTCCGACAGAAGATCTTGTCTGAGTTTTAAGATTTCCAGGCGATCCCTGTCTGTGATCTCACCATCAGTCTTTTTCATCGCATGTTGTGCAAAGATCAATTCTGCCAGTCTCCTGTCCTTTCTCATAAACACTGCGTCGGCTTCTTGCAAGAGTTGCATCTCTTGTCGTCTGATTTCAGCAACTTTGGATACAGCTTCACTGGAAATGTCTCTTTTGGTTTCAACAAGCATTCTGCTTAATCGAGTACGAGAATATTCCCAATCTTGTGATACATGAGTATCGAATCGACCCACTTTACCATATGTTTTGTGGACTTCTTTCAAACATCTATCAAAAGCAACATTAACATCGACTCGCATGTGCATGGGATCTTTGTGGCCTGAAACCATGCACTCTTTACAGATGAGTTTCTCGCATGTTGTGCAGTACAAGCACAGTTTCTGACTCGGGTGGATGTCACAATTTGAGGCATTCTTTTTCGTTTCAGTTTGCAAGACATCATCTCTTTGGTTGAGTAGAACTGTGATTTTGTGAGTTTTCATTGACTTGAAACGCAGATGTGCCTGATGACATTCCCGGCAGAGAAACTGCTCGCAATCAATACATTGGACAGTAGCCTCATGCTCCTCATCACATGCCTGACAAACCACCACCGCTGGCCCTTCAGTCTCACCACCTTTAAGGATCTGTTCCTGCTTGCTTACTTCATCAACCAGGGACACTAGAGTATAATTCTTGTTCAATTTTGTCACTCCACCCTCAGGTAAGATGGTTTGCCTCTGACACAGCGGACACGTTATCTTGCCATCGTCTGGTGTTTGGCTCTGCTTGAGTTCTTGGAGGCATCTCAGACAGAAACTGTGGGAGCAGTCCAGCATCTTGGGTTCTTGATAACGGGTGTGGCAGATGGAGCATTCCAGATGACTCTGGATTGATCCTAAAACTGACTCTACAGTTACACCAGTAGCCATCTTGTTACACCTGCAAGTAGTCAATAGCTTAAAGATATTATCAGATCAACAAGAAATTATTATGTACCAAATTAACATTATTTCGAATTAAACCAGCTGGAGCTCAGCCGCATGTGTGCATTTCATGAAAACCCACCAAAAGGCTCATTTGAAAGGCATGAAGAAGAGTTGCAACATTGTGCGATTACGAAATTCAAGAAATTATAAAATTTGGGTTTTAAAATCTGATTACGAAGATAATTTATACTGGTCAGTTTGAAGGGGGGCCTACCTTAGGTTGCTGTACGGGTACACTCACCATGGCCCCAATAAGAGAGATGCGTGACTGGCCATAATATAACTCTATGGTCCTGAGCTTTTGTTTAAAACACAGCTTCTGCATTAGTCTATGAAAAACCATAGAGAAAGGACGGCGAATGCTGTGGCCTATTTCGCGTGAACAGATTTGCTGGTTAATTAGGCAAAACCCCGGCTCTTGACCTCCTAGATTTTGACCAATCAGTGAGCGCTTTCTATATCGGGTCTTCGGTCATTCACCCGTTGCGCGTCATAGGCAATGGATAAAATATTTTTAAAAAATGTGTCACGCGCTCTGTATCATGTAGGCCTAAGCAATATCGCGCCCGGCTGTTGTATTACAAAACACTACATTCGAATTGACCAATCAAACCATTTAGTCCTGATATAGGAATGAAATGACGTCACGATTTAGGAAAATCGACTTCAATTGGCTGGCGCGCGGCTTGCATAAATTTGCTTAGGAGATGTCATCGGACGTTCTCCAGGATTTGGGTCCGTGGATAACGGGTGATACTCGGACTACTTCTGCCCCGGGGAACACCATGAAAGTACTGTACAGCAACTTTTATTATGTCTATGCATTGATTTTAACAAGGCTGTATTTGTTCACCCAGCATATCAATAATGTTATCAATTGAAAAAAATAAAACATTTAAGCACAATTCAGGCTGCATTCTTCCACGGTAGCACATTATAGAAATAAGACCTTAGCTCGTCGTGGCTGTTGTGAACATGTCCCTTACATAGGGATCATTGCTCTCGGCATCTCAGTTGAATCATTATCACAATAATCAAGAGGAACATTTAAAGATATATGCTCACCTTCCTGTGCAAAGAGAAGATCAAGAAACGCCTGTCCAAAATTGTGTTCCAGTAACAATACATGCAGGCCCAATATGCTGGCAGTCACAGTGTCAAGTGCATGGGTGTGCGTGTGACTAGTGTCATGTGCATGTACATGTACACTGCAATGTGCATGCACTACATGTATGCACATTGCACTTTGCTCGTCTAGTGGAAATTCCCTTTTCCTTTGCGTCTGTCTCTTTCCCATCATTATGTAAATTGTTACCAGGGTAAAGTTCAAAGACGGCCATAAATAGCCTCGCATCGATTTGTTCATCGTAAACTGAATACCAGTTACTCCCGATGTTGAATTGAACATGACTAGAACTTCTAAGGTTATCAGTGTTTGCATGTACATGTATATGTATAACTGCAGAAATAACGTTGGGACAGGATCCTCTGAATTCAGCCCTGTATATATTTTTTTTCATGGGGGTGTTCGGTGCTATTTTAGACATCGGTGATTCTTAAGTGGAGAGTTAGACTTTGAAGAAACCACTTCTTTTATGTACACTAAAACAAAAACCCCCAAATGTTTCACATATATTTATTTGTACTAATTGTATGTTTGTCAACGGTATTTGCATATCTCTTTTCTAAATTGATAATAGAGCTGAATGCATTGAACTTGAGGCTTCCAGGATACATGAAGTATAGATTACAAAGTTACTGTTTTTGTCAAATTTAAAATACAATATCCTGGAGCTTTCTTTCAGATTTGTATCATATAAACTGATATGATGTAAAAGTAAGGGATTATCTTTCTCAATCAAATTTAATTTAGTAAATGGTCTACTTAAAAAATAAGAAATTGAAAATCAAATGATCAGGGCATTGAAAAATTTAAACCTGATTTATTCAAATTATTTCTGACATGTGTACATTTGTAAAGTGTTCTGTTTTCCCTTGCACACAAAATGCACTTCTTCGTGTGTTTTACTGTGCAGTGAGATATATTTCCTTTAATTTTCAAACCAGTCATTGGATTCATTTTCAAGAGCTGTCCTGTAGGTATTTTTATGTACAAGTAATTTACCAGTTTCCTGTGATAACCAATATTTCCCATTGCTTGAAGATAATGGACACCATTTGAAAAATAATGTGCTTTTGCCTATTAAAAAAGGGACGAACAAAAACATATTAATCCAAAAATGGTTATTAAAAATTAATTTTCGAAACTTCAGTGTAGGTATCATTATTTGAAAAACTGACAATGCATCTTCATTTTTTCTGACATGCTTATTAATACATTATCAGTGATGCTATAGGGTGATATTACACGTGTATACAACAACATAATAACACAAGCAGTCATATTGAGCCTCATAAATAAAGAGCTAAACTCTTTCCCCAAATTGATTGTATTCAGTGGTGGGGTTAAGTGGGGTTAGGTATAGTGTTGAGATGCATTAATAGTGCGTTAAATGGCATTTTAAAAATGTTCCAACATTAAAGTAATTGTTGATTATTTGTTTGCTAATTTTGATCTGTGTAGTTGTTATTGTTTGTTTCGATTGTGTTTCGGGTTTTATTATTTTTTGGGGGGGGCGGGGTTCCTTTTAGTTTTTTTTGGTATTTTTGTTTTTAAGCAATATCCCTCCGAATCGCGTTTGAATCGTGCAGGTTTCTTTTCAATTATACGTATTTATATGATAAAGATATCACATATAAATTATCACTGCTATTAGCTATACTAACATTTGCATCTCATATATAGAGTACATGTCAAACAAAGTCATTTGAACTACTCAACATCAATGTTTAAACATAAATATGTACATTGGTGCAATTTGCTCGGAAGATTTCAAAACTTGGAATTACAATTATTCAGCAAATCCAAATTATTGTCTGCTCATTTACAGGTATGGGTTTACATGTATATCATTAAATTATACGTATTAGCTCAATTCTGCTGCTGAATTCAGTGACCATCTTCAATTCTTGGGGAAAAACAAAGTGTTAATCTGTGTAGTCAAGATTAATTGGACTGACAACACAGTCCACACAATTATGCTTATTCTGGGCCCAATTTCATAGAGCTGCTTAAGCACAAAATTTGCTTAAGCACGAAAAACATTGCTTAGTAAAATCACGTAACCCGCCAAAACTCCATGCGATCTACATTGCTTGTGACTGGTATTTAGCTGTTGTTTACTTAGCATAACAATCGATTGGAGTTTTGGCCGGTAACCTGATTATATTAAGCAAGATTTTTTTTGTGCTGAAGCAAATTTTGTGCTTAAGCAGCTTTATGAAATTGGCCCCTGGTTAGAATTGCTCATTGAAAGCTGTATAAAAAGGAGAGCAGAGGAAAAACCTTTACCTTATATTGACACCAATCATGATTTAATAGGAACCAGAAATGTCTGAAACCGAACAATGATCACCATTGATTACATTTCAGACATTTCTGGTTCATACGGATTATCACTGTCAAACGTAAAGTCATGGTAGGAATTAGAGGTATTATTCATTGTATGATTTTGTGGTTTCTGCTCCCCTCAAAAAGGTAACTCACTATTTTCGTTCAATGTTAAAAGATTGCCCAGTTCTTGTTGGCCATCAAATGTAAATACTTATAAATGTGGGGGATGGAAATTGGTGCCATTTAAGTGTGAAAATTTACTCCATTCCGGTAAAAATTTACTTTCACCACCGAAACTAAAATAGGGACCAGATATTTTAATGTAAAATTCATTCAATCGAAAGAATCAAATTGTGACTCCATTCTCGAGTGAAGTGAGTCTTTTTTCAGTGTATTTCAATGTAAAATTAGAGTGATTTTTACTCTAGTCCCTAAATTAACTCTGATAATTGCCGAAAGCAAGAAAGCGGAGACTATACTTTTGATGCCATAATGTAGCTACTACTTCGTTGAAAACTGCACTTAACTTTGTTTTACACGTACTTTTTACATTGCGCGGGCTGTACACTGTGCATGTCATGTATCAAGAAATGTCAATCCTCAAATTATCGATTGTGAAAAGTTATGAACTTGAACACTGTCAAAGTGGTGCCGTCTTAAAGGGTAGTTCCGATTGGCTTTTCATTGATACGTTTACATTGTTTGCATCTCTGCAGTCACGGATGACCGTGCTCATCAGAGCATGTTGGGGGGGGGGGGGGGCTCATGCCATATTTTCAATTGGGAGCGCCAATAAAATCCTAAAATCATTCACACTATATTAACTAATGCACCCTTGTCACGACTATTTCTTCTTTAGGGGGAGACCGTTCGCATGTACATCACAATCCTTCTTTTAGCTAAATAAAAATGCAATTTTTTTTTTACGGAATTAATTTTTTGGGGGGGCTAGACAAAACTTTGGGGTAGAACCGCGCCTGCAAGGGCCTACTTCTGGGCTCTTGCATTGACTTTAATGGCCAACTAAGAAGCGTATTTTGCATCGGAACTGTTCTGACGGTAGAGTACCTATAACTTTTGAAGAAGCTCGAATTTTAGCCCGTTGTACGAGGACTCATAAACAGGGTGCCACGTTAGCAAAGTTGCATAGTTGCAATTGGCTTGTTACTAGTGGAATTTTTGTTTTAGTTAAAACGTCCATAATTTTCTCTTATGAGGTTCAGAGGTTGGAAAGGAATGTAACATTCAATTTTTCATTGAACCACAAATGCTTGCATTTTTCCCTATTGCCTTTCAACTTGCTTAAATCCGATGATAAATTTGTGTCTGACTGTCCCCAGTCACAACAATCTTCCCATCTGAAATGTTTGCTATGCGAGTCCTGTTTCCTACATCTTTTACCAATGTGTCAATGTAACGGCCCTCTGCGCTGTAACGATGGATTTGATAAACTGAATTATTCAGGCCTTTACGCCTGCAATATGCAATGACAATGAAATCACCGGCTTTGTCGCAACACAACCCACGGGGAGCAGAATTCTGGAACGAATCAACTGTGAAGATGCTGTTGCCATGGTAATCAAGACTCATCAGCTTTTTCTTGTCACTATTTGTGTATGTAAGCCGCTTGTTACTGATGACCAGGTGGTTGGCAATCATAGGAGCATGCACTGTTCTGATGAGAGACCCATCTAGGGTGTGTAGAGATATCCTGTCCATGCCCTTATAACCCACTGCTAGCAGTTCGCTGTCATCCACCGCAAGGCATACTGGTGTAGCATTAATGTGTGATTCTTCACACGCATTGAACTGCTGAATGAACTGGTATCCCTTGTTGAATATATTGATCACTCCATTATAGTTAGCAACAAACAGAACATCATCCATGGTTACAGCCATGTCTGTTGGACTCTTCAATAAATGTGTGTCTTTTGATTCATGAATAGTGTACTCTTCCTGATCATTAAGACCCAGGAAAGTAAGTCCGCGTGTCCCACACGTCATAGCAATGTTACCTGAAGAGAATGTAGCAATAGAGGAACCGTTCAACTCAAATTCCTTTACCAATTCCCAGTTTTCTTCGAGATTCAATGTGCCAAGTTCAACTTTGTTGCACTCTTCTTTGCAAGCAGTGAACGACAAGTGACTGTTCACCTCATTCCGAGTTTTCTCGTTCAAATCTTTGTATTCCGACAGAAGATCTTGTCTGAGTTTCAAGATTTCCAGGCGATCTTCATCCGTTATCTTACCGGCCTCGGTCTTTTTCAATGTCTGTTGTGCCAAGATCACTTCTGCCAGTCTCCTGTCCTTTTTCCTGTATGCTGCGTTGGCTTCTTGCAAGAGCCGCATCTCCTGTCCTCTGATGTGAGCAATTTTTGATGCAGCTTCACTGGAAATGTCCCGACTGGTTATAGAAAGCATTCTGCTTAACCGGCTACGAGAATATTCCCGATCTCGCGAAACGTGAGTGTAAAATTGACCCATTTCAGTGTTTGTTTCACGAGCTTCTTGCAAAAAGACATCAAAAGCCACATGAACTTCGACACATGTATGCATGGGCGCGTTGTGGCCTGAAACTAAACACTTGTTGCAGATGAGTTGCTCGCATGTTGTACAGTAAAAGCACAGTTTCTGACTTGGGTGGTCTCCACAGTTTTTGATGATGGTCTTCATTTCAGTTTGGGGGACATCTCTTCGGTTGAGCAAAGTTATGATTTTGTGATTCCTTAAAGCAGCCCATCGCTGGTGTGCTTTAAGGCAGTACTGACAGAGAAACTGCTCGCAATCAGTACATTGGACAGTAGCCTCATTCTCCTCATCACATGCCTGACAAACCACCACCGCTGGCCCTTCAGTCTCAGCACCTTTCAGGATCTGTTCCTGCTTGCTTACTTCATCAACCAGGGACATCAGAGTATAATTCTTGTTCAACTTTGCCACTCCACCCTCAGGTAAGATGGTTTGTCTCTGACACAGTGGACATGTTATCTTGCCATCGTCTGGTTGTTGGCTCTGCTTGAGCTCTTGGATGCATCTTAGACAGAAACTGTGGGAGCAGTCCAGCATCTTGGGTTCTTGGTAACGGGTGTGGCAGATGGAGCATTCCAGATGACTCAGGATTGAACCCAAAACTGACTCTGCAGTCCCACCGGCAGCCATCTTTTTACACCTACAAGTAGTCAATAGTTAAAAGACATATTCAGATCAACAACAAAAGGATAATGTGCCAAATTAATATTATTTATAAAATAAATCAGCTTGACCTGAGCCGCAGGCGAGTATCCATGAAAAACCCAACCCAACTCTAACTGGGGACCAGGGCGGTCCACGAGACATCAGTACTGGCAGTCACCCCGTTAAACAAAAAAATGAAAGGCCCGAAGCATGCGCAGTTAGTCAAGATTTGCAACATGGTGTGATGTCGACATGAAATTTTGGATTTGGAATCTTATGAAGATAACTAGCATTGGTCGGTCAAGAGGGGATCATGGAGGAAGTTTGTGTTCCTTCCTCCATGGGGGGGGGGGGGGGGATCAACCACACTGCAGGGCAAATGTATGATGTCATCACTGGGGTCCAAGTTAACTCTGACTAGTACATGGAGATCAATTTCACTCGGTATCTGAACTTTAATCAGTCTCACAACAAACAGGAGGAACATTAAAAATATGCTAACCTTCCTCTGCAACGAGAAGATAAACACTCGATGTACACAGTAATTCACTCTCCATGCGTGCATATAGGTATCGAATGCGGCACTATATAGTGTAATGGCAAGATTGTGATCAAAGATATATGTATAACGCCCAACGCACTTTGCTCCCTGGCTAAAGGTTTCCCGTTGCATCAGCATATTTCCTATGTAGGCCTATGTAAATTTGCCTCAGTGTAAAGTCCAGCGACAACAATAAATATTTGTACATTTGTATTAATAGTATAATTTGGCATATAGCCCTTACATAAATAAATAGTAGAGCTAAAAAAAAACTTTTCCTACAGCTCTTGAAAAAATATCTATATTTTTTTTAAATCCAAATGTTAAAAAAAAATCATCGTTATCTAGTACCTTTTTTTCCAAAATTGGGTTTTACATGGTAAATAATCTGGTAAAATAATCAGAAAACCAAATTTTCAGGGGATTTTTTAAAGCTTGATTTATTCAAATTCCAACAAGTGTAGATCTTGCACATTACATTCCTCTATTTGTCCTTGCACACAAATTCCACTACTTCATGTATGTTTGACTACACCGATGAGAACTATTTCTTTTCCAAACCAAACACTGCAAAGAGCTTTTTTCTGTGATTACTATTTATTTCCCCAGTGCTCAATGTCACACAGATCAAAATCATTTACTCCAAAAAGTACTAGTACAGAATAACTTGTGAAATGTCGTTTCACATGTCCACATTTAGAAGCAACTTTGGACTATTTTTATATCCCCCCCCCCCAAAAAAAAATTTACACATGTGGTATTTGTGGAGTATTTCGAAATATTTCTTAAAGCAATGAAAATTCTACTCTAAATTAAAAACCATACAATAGTATTATTTTGTGGAGGACAGTGGACATTAATAACAGTTCAAAAAATATATATATACATATAGCAATAGTGGAGTGTTCACTTCAATACCTATATTTACATAACAAAACCAATTTTTACCTTTTCAAAAGTGTTTTTTTTTTCCAATAAAATATCACAAACAGTCAGCCTGTATTATTTTAAAGCATGTAAAGTTTAAAGAAGTAACACACACTGGTGAATTGAAAGGACGGAATAGACCATTGAGTAAATAATTCAGCTTCTTATGTAGAAAAATACATACCCATGACTTTTCATTTCCATTTTCAGTTAATATATTACACAATGCACTGTTATTCGACAAATGTGAAATTTCATATAACCTGCAAAAGACTAACTCAAACGGTTTCATCTATTCCAGTCTACAGTCTTTGATTTTGTAAAACAGGTACTCACGCAGTATATTAATTCTAACTGACAAATATCAGCACTATAAGTACATGTACATGTATATATGATCATATTATGAGAAGCTTTCAGAACTAGAGTGTGGCACTTGTGGAATATACAACGCAAACATTTCATGGTATCAATGTATCACAAGTAAACTAATGGAAGTAAAGGGCATAGTTTTAAAAAGTCCAGGAAGTTTGATAGTATTACATACAAACCAACTTTAAATTGACATCCAAACGCTCAATCAGTGGACGTATTATCTCAAAATGTTCTACTAAACGATGAAAGGCTATTAAAAGCGTGTATGTACCGGATCCAAGCTGTTCATTCGTCAGAGTAGGCGGCCAGCCCATTTTTTGGTCACATGCCACGCCCCTTAAAAAGTTGGCCAATTTCTACACACTTCACAACTCCAAGAATTACAATGTAATAGGCAATTGACTTATGCATTTAGCTCCGCACCTTGACTTTTAGACCATAACAATGATGATTGATGTGGAAATGCGTGCATATGTATACGATGAACGCAGCTTGAACATGCAGTGTGTCATAGCTCAGGTATGCAATGGACGTGGCCTTAGGGATAGGTCTATTTCAGGTTCATTGAAAAATATCTACAAAAACCCAAAATGTCTGAAAGTGTTTGATGATGAAATGTCAGGAACTGAATTTCAGACTTGCCAACTGCAGTTAAACATATAAATGCTAATTACAAGAATTTGGAAACAAATTAAGAGCCCCAAGACATATTTGGATTCTTGGTGTTTTCACTTCTAGTAAGAGTAATAATCACACACACAATGGAAAGGCACTTCATTTGAAATGACATGAAATCTATAAAACTCTGAAACATAAACTGACATATTACAGTAAATTTGTCCATGCATCTTTGGTGTTGGAATTACTTAGTAGTATATTTATATGGCCTGAAAAGTTGTCAAAAAAATTATTCTTCTCTAATAACCGACCTGATGCGGGTGGCACTATGTGGCGATTCTGGAGACGTCTCATCACATCACAACACACACTCCTGATTTCTGTGTCTCTTCCCCTTCAGGTAGGAATAAAAAAATCACAGAATTAGTGTTGAGCTCTGTTTCCCTGATAAAACCCATGCGTGTACCCAGTTGCCACTGAATTTGTGACTTTCAACCATGACTGAAATTGCAGAATGAACTACATCACAATTCAGATCCTGATGTAAATGTTCTATGGCATACTTCTTCTTTGCCTCAAAAACAAAATTGTTTCAGGTGTGCATTTATTTCAATAGTGAAACCAAAAAATTCATGACTCCGATTATTTTTTTGAAAGAAAATCAATGTGAAATGAAGTGGTTTATTTTTACAGCAATCAAAACCTTTTAAATTGGCCTCAGCCCTCCTAGATTTCTCAAAAATCCAAGATTTTTGTCTTCAAGTTTGCAGAATGAAAAAGTTACAGCCCAGCTACTTTGACTTTACTGTGGGGTTTTATGTCACTTGACAGTCACTGTGCCATGAGTGTGCTGCACAGCGGTTGATCTTGGACAATATACAAATGTCAAGGAAATTAAGGTCTGGGTAAAGTTTAATAAGGATTGATAGGTCCCTGCCCCATCTTTCAGTATAGGCCTACAAATAATGGTGTTATTTCCCAGCCTCTTGTTTATTAATTTGGTCATTTTATTGGCAGAACTGTGAGACGACCTAACAAAAGGAAATACTGGATAAGAATGGCAAGTAGTTACCTAGGTTACCAGCTGCCTCATCCTTCGGGATACGAGCGATGGCTTTATCAGCTACCTTTGCATTCTGAGCGTTCAGGACCGTCTTGATAACCATGGTCTCAACACGAGCCTTGTTGTGCAGCTCTGCTGTTGTGACGAGTTTACGGAATTGGGCCTAAAAAGGCAAAAGGGGGAAAAAGAAAAGGACATCTCATTACTCCAAAAAGAATCTCATTGCATTATGCTCTAAATGTATGGGAAGTCATCTTGATTTCATCCTAAAATGGAGCCTTTGGAAGATGACGAGATGATAAATCTACTTGTAGTTTTATAATTATAATTGTTTTACCACCATCTTGCTCAGACAAACAACAGACTGGAGACATAATGATGCCACGCTTCCTGGGTACTTTTCTGGAAGTCAGGTAGTTCTCAGGGTGCTCATGTGAACAAAGCACGTCATTATATCTCAGAGGTATTCCATTGAGTAAGAGAGTTTAGTTGCCTTTCAATGAGTGCATTTTCTAGTCTGTTTTAAAAAGCACTGATACTCTATGGAAAATGTTCCTCTCTTTGACACAAATTCCAAGTGCCTTCTTTAACCTTAGTATTAGAATCTGTACTACATTGTATTACATTGTGTTTATTCACCGATGAATAGTATGACCACACATGCAGTGCTTGGGCAGTTTTGGATGCTGTGGGGAGTAGGTAGGGTGTTTTGGAGGGGTGCAGTGATTAAAGGGGCAAGTCAAGTTTCACTCACAATTTTGGCCTCCATTCTCTCTTGTCTCTTCTTCATAACGGCAAACTGGAACATGAACTTGGCCTTCATGGCAGGGTCAGACACCTGGGGGAAAAAACACCGTCAATATGAACAGAAACAGTTTGGTGTGTGGTCATAGAATAAAAAGGTCCTAATGTCTAACACTGAGCGTCTCACACTCATTTCAGTTTGGCGTTCTCGTGTCGCGTCAAACCAAAAATATTAGGAGTGACTCAGGTCAGACCAAAATAAATTTGGTTCCTGACAAGCAAAATCTATGTACTAATTGTACCTTCAGTAAAATCTGATGTCATTCCAAACAACTGCAACAGTCTATATCTAACAGTATTGGCAGTTAGATATGCGTGTCAGCTTTGATACTAAATCGTATGTAATTAACAGCGTTTGTTTTTACCCATTAGAAGCTACAGGCGTGTCAGGGATTAACATCAACCAATGAAAACATCTATTCATTTGCACACCAGTTTTCATTGGTTGCTACGTGTTGTCATTCAGTGCTCCAGATTCAAAAACCATGGAGTATCGAGAAAACGGATCGGGAAGCTAGATAAGCCAATGTAAAAAATGTCAGGGATGTCTGCGCCTGCCAATATATTGAACGACATTATATGTAGTCCCCAATGAATAGCTTTAAGCATTCAATGCTCAGGCAGTTTGGGGCGGCGAGTGGGGTAACTGGTGAAAGAGGAACCACAGCATAATGGGGGTTTTTGAGGGTGGGGTGGGGGATGGGGGAAGGGGCCATGAAGAAAGACCTACCTGTTTAGCAGTGCCGTTAACATCTCGACCCTTACTGAGAGCCTCAGCCTGCATGATCTCCTTGGTGTTCTTCTTAGCCTTATTCTTGGACTGGGGATCTTTCTGAGTCCCCCAGACCTGGATGACAAGGTGGTCATTCAGCAGATACTGTACCAGCTGTATGGGAAAAGAAAAGAAAAACATCAAATTTGAATGTTTTGGTTCCACTTTGAGTTCCCAGAGGCAGATCCAGGTTGATAAAAATGGTTGAAATCAACTGACTCCCTCTGGTTTAGAACTGGAGGTCTCTTTTTAAAAATTCTACAAAGGAAAGACCAGCTTACATTGGATGTAACCACTTCAAAGTTGAAGCTCTTTTTGTGCTTGAATGCTGGGCTGCTGGTTCCCTGTACACGGTTGGTATCAATCATCTCTGTGTCCAGGAACACGCTGTACTTGCAGTGGATACCCTGCAGATCGATGTTTCAGTTGATAGAGAATATGTCAGTCAATATATAACGGGCCAGTCAATATGCAACATGCCAGTTAATTATACTCTACAAGATGCTAGACAATATAGAAGACACCAGTCAATAATAAAATAGAGGTCGACATACAACCTTCAAGATGCAATTCAATGTACGAGAGACCAATTCATTTCCAAGTTTACATCTCAGAGACCAACTATGCCATCTTTGTAGACAATCCTAAGAAATCATGTCTGGTAGTAAGAGAAGTAGTCACGACCATGATGAATATCCATAGCCCAGGAATGGGCTTTGGATATCAGGTGAATTTTTAGAGAGATAAATCATTTTTGCATATATTGAATTATCTGGGGCGCAGTATCAGAATCTTTGATTGAGAGATGCGCCGCCTAGGAAATAAATCCTAATTGTGACTGCAGGACAAATCCAACAGATTTTCCTCTTGCTCATGCAGCGACATTTGGTCTTATAATGAAGATCAATATTTTACACCAAAACAAGAAAGGCAAAACGAGCAAACCAACCCCAACACTGATTCATACTTACAGTGAATTTAGCAGGGATCCCCATGGCACTGTTGAGCTTGACGACAAAGTTCAAATCCCTTCCCACCAGCTCGTTGGGGTGATCAATGAAGAGATCATCGTCCTCCTTAATCTCCTTGCCGTTCTTGTGGCAGGGCACCAGCTCAACGTCCAAGAGGCCCAGCTCCTTGCCGCGGTAATCTGTTATATCCAGCTGCTCCTTGGACTCAATCTGCATAATAGAGGGATTAAGGAATCATCCGGATTAAAAAGGATTAAGAGACAGGTATCATCTAAATTAAATAGGGAATATTAGGAATAACTAGGATTAATGAGGGTTCAAGGAATAATCTGAATAAAAGAGGGATCAGGAAATAATCTGGATTACTGATAGATCCAGAAACAATCTGGATTAAAGGGATTTAGGACTAATTTTGTTACTAAACAATATAGAAGGATTAAGGAGAGAATTTCATTAAACACAGATTAAGGAATAATCTGGGGTAAACAGGAATTTAGAAATTTTTTGTTTAGTGACGTGACTCGGACTATAATTGTGACTCGTGATTCAGACTTGACTCAACTGACTTGAGACTCAGACTCGGACTTGACACTGAGAACTCAGACTCGGACTGAAGATTTGAGGACTCTTGGCGAACTTACCAGATAAGCAAGACTCTGCATGTACACATTGACTGTACCAATCAACACTTCCTGGTCTGGTGGCTCTGTAAAAGGATTTTTCTCCTGGAAAAAAAAAGAGAATAAATAATTAACAGTTAATATTAACATTATTATAGGCATTTCATTGTCTCAAAATTGGTTTCAAAGCATGGAGCAAGTTAAGGTGAAGAGTAAAAGGTCTTTCCCTCTTTTCCACTTTGTACACGATGATGTCTTTAATAATTAACACTGAAATTTCCTGAGAATGATGCTTCCAGTTTGTTCGTGCATCGTATGCTGACCAGACAGCAAATTATAAAAGGAAAAGCATGTACACTATAAGGCAATGTGGGCGCTGCGAACAAATGAAATGAAGAACAAAGTAAACACATAAAAGATTTTTTTTATCAATTGTGTAATGTTTCTCAAGATTTGAGAGTAGAACTAATTGTGGCAAAATATAGATTGTGGGCTGTTAAGTCACACAGCATACGACCTGAATGCACTTTTTCCCCCTACAGTTTTGAGATGTTAATTTTTGTCTGTACTGCGTCACAGCACAGTGTATCTAGATGGCTACAAGAAAATGAAATATCTGATAGGCTGGCTAGTAATAAGCACGGAACATTTCTGAAGTGATGCCACATAATAGGGCTATGATACTTACATCAGGCAGCTTCCAATCTTCTCCCTCAGTGTAGTTCTGATACATCTCCTGCATGAGATACTTACGACGGACAAACTTATCCCTAGGCCAGATGTACTCCAGATCCTTCTCCAGATTCCGCATCTTCATACACACCTTGGAATGAAAAGTCATTTTCAAAAGTAAAAAAAAACTCTTTTTTCAAATTCAGCATTTTCACATACACTTTTGGAGATTCATGTAAATTCTGAACATTTTGTAATCTATCTCTTCAAAGGGATTTAAGAGATTAACCAAATCAATTATGTACCACCCAAATGGCCTCTTTATACTCCATATATATGGCTCATCAGGCGTACCTAAGGTTGGCGTCAACTGCCCCTGATTTTATTTTAAATGTATCTTTTGTCTGCACTCAGGTGTGAGTTTTGTGCCTACCTCTGTGCGACCATGGGCCAGGCCACGTGCTTTAGGGGACATGACTACGATCTCAAACTTGACCTTCTGGTCCAGCTCCTCACTAATGGCGTTGGCTTCCTCCACGGCAGGAATCATCTCTACTAGATCCTCCTGAAGCAGCATATCCTCTGAAAAGATTGCAACAATCAGGTCCAAAATATTACGATTATGCTGAAAATTTACCTAATTAGCATTTTTAAAAAAGGTCTTCAAAGGTCTAAGAAAAGTGAGCAAAACAGTGTCAGGCAATAAAAGGAGATTTACCAGACTGATTGTTTGAATTATGGGAGGCAATTTCAAATTGAGGAATTTGCCAGGCTGACCTTTGGAGTAATGGGAAGTCATGTCAGATAAAACAAATCCCAAACTGACCTTACTGAAGGTCATGTCAAATAAAGGAATTTGTTAGACTGATCTTTGAAGCTATGGAAGGCGATGTAAAATTCAAGAGCTTTTTGATGTCTTGAGAAATCATGCCAGACAGATATTTGTCAAACTTGCATTTGGATTTACGGTAAGTTACGTCAAATAAAAGACATTTGACAGACTGACCTTTGGAGTTGTTGGAGGTCATGTCAAATCCATTTTTCTGAGCAATCTCCTCCTGGGCAGATTCATACGTGACCACGCCCACGTAGTTAGTAGGCTTGGCTTTATACAGCTGAGGGTGCTGGAACACATAAAGGTGGTTGCTGCCGAACATAATCCTGTCCAAAAACATTTTTGAAAGAATTTTTCATTTAATTAAAAGGGCTGCTCAATTTCTGTTACAAAACAAAACAGACGTTTGTAGCAAAACTTATCAATGACAATAATTTGTTTTAAGTAGGTGTAAAACTTCAGTAAATGGTGAATGTTTGAATTATTTTAAAATTTCTTTTGAAGGGAGATTCGAACTATGTTGATTATTATCAATCTGATAAAAAAAAATCACAAGTAAATTCCCAAGTCCAGTCACAATTAATGAAATGAAACAAAGACATCTCTTTGTATTTTAGTCACCTGTCGTTGTGATCCAGTTCCATCTTGCCGACAAGCGGGTCCCCATTGATGAGGATTTTAGCGTCAGAGCTGGCCTTCTCTAAGAACACTTTGCCGTTGTCATTCAGGACGATTCCATGTTCTTTCTGAATACTGCAGATGGAGATAACATGAAGGATGACAATGATTATTAGGGGTCAATTTTTTTGAGTCTTTGTTACGCATGATGTAATATTTTGTAAAGTAAGGACACATTCCTTAATGCCTGCAATCTGCACGTCATTTGAAAAAGAATTTGCAGTTATTTCGCGTCAAAAAAAGCCCCACTGTCTAGTTTACAAAGCATGACATGGTTTCAATGCTAACCAAATGCTTGCCTACTGCAATGGTGGCCAATCATGGGGAAACCAGATGGTCACATGCTACTTTGGCGTCATACGATTGGACCCTACATACCATAGATTTACCACAGACCATAGACTTACCTAAGTCCATTCAGCACAATTTCCGGCGGAGTCTCGGCCTTGTTGTTGCCCACCTTGTAGCTCCCGGGGCCCAGCAGGAAGACGATCATCCCGCTAAGCTGGGTGTCTTGGTTCAGGTTGTAGAGATGAGGCGTGGTCTTCTTGGCTTCCTTCTTAGCCCGCTCCCCGTCATCTCCACCCTTCAGGTGGCAAATCAAAATCCAATTTCAGTATTTGTTTTGCAGTTTGTTAAGTCAATCATCAGCAGGATTGTAATGGAACAATCACCAGTCTGGTCACAAAATAAACCAGGGGATGATTAATGACAAAGGAATGCCTTCGTCACAGATCACTTGACTTGTGACTGGAGGACTTGTGATTGACTTCATTTAAAAAAATAAATGGCAATATATGTTAAAGCATGAGTTTAAGTACGTTAGGGCTCCTTCATTTGTTTCTTCATTTTCCCCCACTTTTATGACTTTTTCCACTTTTTAGGGGTCGGGATGGGGAGGGGTTCAGGAGGGGTAAGAGAAGGTGGGGACTGAAACCCCTTGACCCCTCCTCCGGATTCACCACTCCAAACTAATGCCACTCAACTACCAGGTTTGCCAAGGTCAGATCACGGTTTTCAATCAAAGTAAAGAATTTGTTAACTTACATTAGATATAAATAACTTTTTATACTCTGTTAAGCCTGCAACCAACATTATTACCATTGATTTTTTTTACCCCTGCTCATCGAGCTCATCAATATTTTCCAAAACTACATCAACGTCCTTCAGTTTTACAAATCCTTGCTGTCACTTTGGCTGAATGAGGCTAATTCAAACACCACAACCAAATCTGCCCTCACGAGAATCCATTGACGCCTAAGTGTGGAGAATCAAATAACGCCCTTCAATAAGGTCACACACACACCCACGTCCCTCATTCCTAAATCTCATCAAGACTGTATTCATACCTCGGTCTCCTTGAGCTTATCTTCCCAGCTCTGCTTCATGTAGCCCAGCTCCCGCTCGGTGGCCTCCAGGCGAGCCTGCATCTCTTCCTCCAACTCCTTGCGGATGGCTTCTCGCTCTGTCACGACAAAGAGAACTTGAGTGTATTTTCCATACATTTTTTTAATATTTCATATTTTGTTTAACAAAGGACAAGCTAAGGAGCGTCAGTCGACTGCCTTGAATAGGGAGGGGAGGTGTAACAAATTGGCTGGTAGACCATATCTAATATAAGGTAGACATGATATTTTTTTAACAGGCCCTCCATTGAAATACCTTTTCAAAATGTATTTATTATATCTACAGTATCTTTACTTCTACTCAGTTTCTCCGTTGAACCTTACCTTCATCAGTCACGCCTTCTTTCCTGTCGTCGTCATCGGCAACCATGACCAGGCCGCCTTTCTTGATGGCATCCATCAGTCGGGCATTCTCCTCCTTCAACTCTCGGATCAGTTTCTCCGTCGGGTCCTCATTGACCACGGCCGATGTCTTGATCTGTTTGGCACGATCAGCTGAACAGAAAAGTTTATAGATAGAATGTTGCATCAGTCTCTTTAATATAGAGATCACAAATTATTTTATTCTATCTTCCTTAAGCTTAACCCCATTTACTAGTTACTTCTCAGATACTACAAAATCAACTACTCCACTTCTTGGCCACCCATTTAAAAAGATCTGTTTTCCACTACTAGAAATTATCAATTCCATTTCAAATCATCTGTGTAAGAAGTAGTACGAAGTACCAGTTCGAAGAAAAAAAAAGTAAGACAGGGGCTGTGTCCAAAATGGCATTGCTGTCTATGGCTACAACTATTCACTGTACAAATCCATGGCTTAACAATGAAGCCTCAGCCACAATGACCCTATGGCTTACCATATCTGAGTGTTGAGAGTGTCTCCTCGTAGTTGATGTCAGCTGGACTGAGGGCAGCAATCATAATGGTCTTGCTGTTACCACCCAGGGCATTCTTCAGCAGTTTGGTCAGAACAGAGTCACGGAACGGAACTATTGTAACAAACAAAAAACAGAGCCAAAATAGTTAGGGGCAGTTCATAACAGTTTCAAATTTCCAGAGTCAGCTCCAGATTGATAAAAATGCAGGCAGATCGATGATAGAAAGTCAAGAGGTTGCATATTCTGTTTTCTGCCTGTATTTGCATTATCTTGGATCCACCTAAGAGTTAGGGGCAAATTTCACATATGTTTGATAAAAAATGTTGAATTAAATAGTAAACAGGGAATCAGACTTAAGAAACCTCCTTTATGGTCAGCTAATATTAGCCATTGATCCATCACACTAATACATTTTCAACATGTCTTCAGACAGTGTAACGCTGATTGTGGTCTCTTTATGTCCTAAGACATTTTACTACATTTGATTCTATCTGCCAATAATTTAATAGTCACTACTTAAGTTGAGGGCATGATGTTGACGAAAACACCATGAACCCAAAAGTTGTTGTTCCTCTATGACCTTCAAAAGCCTATCATATAGTCTTAAGGTTTTTACTTGAAAAAAAATTTCAAACGTATTTATCGTCTCTTGTGATAGAAACTTAATTCCATTCACAATTTTGGAAAATTGTAATTATCAAGCATTTTAGATTTCACAATATAACCAAGAATACCAGATAAAACACTGACCTTTGACCTTCTTGCCCTTTGACCTATCAGCCAATGCCGAGATGACGTTACCCAACGAGGACAGTGATTGGTTAATGGCAGCTCCTTCCTTCAGCCGGTCACCAGTGGCCCCTGTTGATTCTGCACGCTCACTGAGAAACACAAAGAGAATATAGACTTTGTGCATGAAGTACCCCCTCAACGGTGCTCAAGAGAGAATCAGGCAGACCATTGAATGCCATGACTGCCAAGGGGAGGGACTCCAATGCATTGGTGCCATACGCCTAGCGCTAATGTGAGGACAATACAGGTCTGTAAACATTCGGATTTAAAGATTAGTTGTTTCACTTGTGCGCCAACTAGACAACACACGCAATGCGTTGCCCCATATTTGAAATTGTGAAGATTTCTGTTATTATTTTATTGTCTCCTGTTGAATCTTTTGTTTTTCTTCAAAACGAGGGCGGATCCGGGGGGGGGGGGGGGGGGGAGGCACAACAGGGGGCCATGGCCCCACCCCCCCCCCCCAAAAAAAGAACTTTTTTTTTTTTTTAAGTGACTTTGCAATAAAAGCAGGCACTGTGTACACCACCATCTTTTTCTCAAAAATATTTGGTTAAAGTGGTCAGAAATTGCCTCAGATCGCACAACAGGGCATCCAGAATCCAAACATTTTTACGAGCCCTTAAGTGGGCCCCAAACCCCACGCCATAATTTTTGGGACCCACTTTTTGGCCCCCCCCCCAAAAAAATGTGTTCTGGATCTGCCCTTGCTTCAAAAATTCTGAAACCCAGCCCCTGAAACCAGCCTGCTTAGTTGTGATGGACTTTGACGTGCTTAAAGATCTGATTCATAGCAGATTCGACCTAAACACTTGGAAATTCATCACCCACCTGCCAGCGAGGTCAACCAGATTAACCACGGCGACCTTTGCCATCTCCTGCCCGGCATCGTTGACAGACTTCTGGGTGAAGGTGATGCCTACGATGGTGTGAGCGCGACTGCTGGTTGCGTTCATCTGCGTGGAAGCCACAGAGCGGTTACGCGTACCTTCGTCCATACGATCCTCGATCTGTTGGTAGCTCTGCACGGGCACGTTACGCAGTTGCTCAACTAAAACATTCAATAGCGAAGTAGAATTTATACAATCAGATTTTAACAAATTTAGTCTGAATTACATAAAGATTTTTAACAAATTTAGTCTGAATTACATAAAGTTGAGTGATCAAAACCCTTGCATATGACTTTATGTGCGGAAAAAAATGTGTTTTTGGTATTATTTTATTTCAATTTTAGTTCATATTTGGAGAAAATTTCGGGTACAATTCTTCCATTTTGAGAGGTAATAATATTTGAGAAAAAATTGTCAATGAGAATAATGCACAAACTGCATTGTGGTTCTTAACCACACAAAAGGAAAATATGTATAACAAAATATTTAAAAATGGGGGGCAGAGAAAACATTTGAAATTTTCATTTTTTTTTAAAAAAATTATTACTTTTTAATAATTCACCAGATCCAAAAATGTGTCAATTGTAAAAAAAAAAAAAAAAAAAAAAGAGGGAAGGAGGCCAGTAAATTTAGAGAGAGGAAATTTTGACTAGATTTCATTTTGACTAGATTTCATCAACTACAAAAAATTTCTAAACAAAAATGCTGAAAAAAAAACAGTTTGGTCAATCTTGTGACCGAATGCCATGTTTCAGAACTTACCGTAAAATCCCTTTTTAGGGTGTTCCCTGACCCTGAGTCCACCCTTTTTGCTGGAGGCGGGGTTGAGCAAGTCTCGCACCTGCTCATTGTAGATCTCAAGCATGCTGAATGTCACCTCAAACTCAGTCTTGGTACCAGATGCTCGCTTGTTGTTGATCTCAACAAACAGCTGGTCGCAGAATATGGGAATGACTCCTGATGACCAAAGAGAGAAGCTGATGATTAATGAGTGAAAGCATCAAGGTGGTTTCTTTGGGTTCCAAGATGGAGAAAAAGGGATGAACATATTTGTTTGTGAATTGAAAGGGTGGCTTTAATGAATCTCATCTGTTTAAACACAGGGTCTCTAAACTTTTGAATGTTTTTTCCCAGTGTTTTTTTTCTAAATCTTTTGCTATAACAGGTGTTACTCTCATATTGTGTACCTGCATGTTGCTTTAAACAAGAACAGTTTGGAATCCCAACAATATATTAGAATCCCCAAAACCAAAAGTTATTTAATTTTCAATGAGACGTCTAATGAAAAAAAATATGTCCATGTTAGTTATGAAAAAGTTACATTCAACTTCTGAATGATGTGGTAGTTGGCAGTAATTCAGTTGCCTGGCTGCAATTTTTTTTTTTGGGGGGGGGGGAGTGTTGACTGATCTTAGTTTGCCCTGACAATGAGTGAAACGTACCTTTGTTTGGTCCGTAGCCAAAGACAGAGAAGGATTTGCCCGATCCAGTTTGCCCATAGGCAAAGAGGCATGAATTGTAGCCGTCCCACGCATTCTTTAACACACCCACTCCAAGATCATCAAACACTTTTTTCTTAAAACGAAAAACAAAGTGATGTTATTGGATTCGATGCACTGATTATAACTTGGGGGGGGGGGGCAGTCACTAGCGACGGCCTGTGCATCAATGGATAGGACCAGCACTCATACAAACTTCTGATAGATAACAAACATTTTGCCTAGGTTCGGCTTAGTTGCTATTAATGTGGGTCAAATTTGCTTTAAGGCCCCCCCCCCAAAAAAACGCGGTCTCTGGTCAGCGCGCGCGTCGATTTTAATCATGCGCGTCAACCTTTTTTTTTTCAGATTAACACGGAAGCTACAACAGGGCCCTCTATTGCCGCACCTCCTCACATTTTTGTACCAAGGAGCACCAAGGAATGGGGAAATTGCACCAAGGCAAATGATAAAGGGCACCAAGGCAAATTATGGAGGACACCAATGTATAATGAGGACACAAAAAAACAAAATAGTACCCACCTTGTCTGTACAATACAAGCTTGAAAAAAAAACAAGCCACAAAAAAAAAAAAATCGCGTCGCCGCATCAATTTCGAAACTTCGGTCTGACCAGAGACCGACAATTTTTTTTTTGGCTTAACTACAAAAGAATATAGTAAGAAATGCTCAAATATACAACTCTAGAAAGATATGCACTTGTGACAAAGTAATTCATTTCTATTTAACAATAAAGCTGTATTCTCTCTGAGTGATCCCCGTTTTTTATTTCCCGGGTTAGCAACAATCCTAATGTTTCTAGCATCTTGATTTAGGGTGTGATCCCTGGCTACACGGCATATATGTACGGATTTATGGTTTCTGATTAGTGCAGCTTAATAAACAAAGACATTGACGAAATGGAGAACCACCAATGTAGGGCTGGACAGCACCTCACAATAACAACTGATAAAACCAAGGTACTAATAAAAGTTTTAAAATCAGAAGATAATTATAGAAGTTACTAAAAATGCCTAAGACAACAAAACAAGTACATACACACTGTAGCAAAAATAAGCTACGAAGCAAGTTAAATTCCACAAAAAAATGGTAATAAATAAATAAATAAAATCAAGTAGGACACTAAAAAACAACAACCTGATATACCGACATATACCATATTGTACCTGGCCGTCATATTTCGGTGACACTGACACCAATAGCTGGTCTCGTTCCTCGAAGCCGTCATGTGACCAGTAACTGTAGTCAAAGTTGAATTTCTTGGGTTCTTCGTTCATAGCGTCTGGGTTCTGGATGGTAGTGGTGCCGGCGTTCATTCCGATGATGAGCTGGGCACCGCGGGCTTTTTCACGTGAGTTGTGTGAAGCAGTTAAGGTTCGTGCTAACATTCTTTCTTTTCTTTTTTTCATTTAAGATTTGGGGCCAAGAAAAAGACCACCTTTAGTTATTTAGTGATCCAGCAGATTTGCAATACGAAATAAAAAGTACTGTATTGTCGGGCCACAAACTGACCTAATTTGTTATTAATAAAGTAATTTCCTATTCAATATAACTTAAAATCAACTGTCATTTTTACGTTAAAGTTTCAAAAAGCGAATAAGCCTAACTTAAATATTTTAAATTAGAAAGAAAAACTTTTTTTTTTTAACAGTTTTTAAAAAAGTGGACGCAGTTACCCAACTCAAAAAGTGTATGCAATGACCTGTGTTCATGTTATTGCCACTGTGACAGAGCATGGCTAGGGGGAGGGGTTATTTTTTTTTGGGGGGGGGGGTTTGAATCATATTATAAATGACTCTAGTCCGAGTAACTTGGACCCAACTTATCGCCTTTTTTAACATTTGGACATGGTCTGGCGATTGAAGGGCCTTTATATTATTTTAATTTATCGATAAAAACAATGCAACAACTAGGCCTAAAAAAGCTAAGGACTATTTGAATTTCTTCACAACAATCCAATGAAGACTCCTTCGAACTATGTTACTGCACGCAAAGTTACCTCTTTTTTGCCCCCCCCCCCCCAAACAAAAGGGGCCAAACCTGCTTCAATCACCGCGCTCACTCAGGGCCAGGCCCAGGTAAAATAACCCATAATTTCTCATCAAAAGGATATGAAAGGCCGCACGCGCACGGCAACTTTGACGCTTTCCTCAGGCATGCTGCTTCAGAAAAAGCCTCAGTCTCCCGAACCAACTCTTTCCTCAAAAGAATCAGTCTCAAATGCTAAAAAATCCTTCGATATCCCACAAAATCGGACAGAAAATTGCACTTGCCAGCGATCACCACAAGGCAGCCATCTTGGATTACGAACCGATCGATAATCACATGGGGAAAGTGTTGATGGTTTGACAAGTGGTTTCCTAGCAATAAACGCCAGCTACTGTGCAGCGTTATTGTTGTGACATAGCGCTTTATTTACACGGCTTTTAACCGGTGCCTGGAAGCGCGCACAGGCTTAATGCGTCAGACATTGCCTTGAGATAAGACCATAGATACCGTCAAAGCAAATGAAAATAACACTCCACTAATTTAAAATGAACTCGGGCAACTTAATTGTTTATTTTTGAGTGACGTTGTGAATTGAAGATGATGCAGAGATAATTTAGACTAACGCATGTGCCTTAGTCATCAACCTTGTGCAGTGGTGGTTCTGCGGGGGGGGGGGGGGGCTTTAGCTCCCCACCTACTAATTTTTAGAGGCCTAAGTGTCCGGAGAAAATAACCGGTCTACATTTCAGCACGCCTCTCTGAAAAAAATTCTGGACCAACCCTGCTAACCCCCCCCCCCCCCCCCCCCGCAACAACAACAAAAATATTGGCTCTAGAACCGCGCCTGACCTTGTGAAGTGGGCGCATAACTCAGTTGGAAGAAGACTTAAGAGCAAATTTTGAATACCAATTTGTTTGATAATAAAGGAACAATGGTAGGCGGCTAGGAACAATGTTTCCCGGAAAGTGACCTACCTAGGTCTACCGTTTAAATAGGAAACAAATAAGTTGCTTAAAGTGAGGACAGTGATATTAATACTTTGTCTGAAATGGCATTGTTTGGATTGGAAGAAAATATTTGGCGGTGCTTTAAAAAGTGTGCCCTCGATGACATTTCTAATTATCCGCCTTTTGCAGCGTGCGTGCGTCATTACAAATTTAGCAACACTTACCCCGACATTTTGCTCTGTTTTCTTGCTTAATTTTAAATTGGCAGATTTTGTTGTCCAATGTCGCATTTTTCAATAGGTAGTTGACTGCAAAAAACTAGTCAATTTTGGATAATACACTATTGAAGACTTAACGGTGATGGACCATTTGCAACTGTTCAAAAATGAAACTCCAAGTAAATTATGCCATACTGAATTTAATGCGAACTTTACTTGGAATATCACGGTGCCAATGCTCTCATTTTCCAAGGAAGAAGGGATTTACCACCTTGGCGATGGTACTCAGAACCAAACCATATAGCGCAGTGCCGACAATTTTGCTTTAGCCTACGTCCAGACAACTAACTTGAGATGCACTTGCATTTTTTTAAAAGGTGTATGTACCGAGTTGATATTTCGACAGGTAGGCCTCAGATTTTTACAGATTTATTGTACAGTACCTTTGAATAGGCCCATTTTACAACATCACGAAATATCCACTGTTGCCTATTGTTCTTTAGGGTTATTGCGTTTAAATGATTATTGTTTCAACGGATGAGCAATTTCAGTAATTTTGTCTTTAACAGTAGCTTATGAAATTGGCTTTCCAGTCACTATTATGTTTGATGCTACATGTTATTTTTAAGTATGAAATACAATTATTTTGAGGGGTTTGGGTTCCGCTTTTTTGACTCACCCTGTATGTTGCAGGCCGGTTTATTTTATTCCAAACATGGATATTTTAGTCCGACAATAAACAAACGCTGTTTTGGACTTACGAGGCGTCAGAGCTATGAGGTGTCGGACATTATGCGGCGTTGGACCTATGAGGCGGCATACTGTATGCCTCATAAGTCCGACGCATCATAAGCCCGACGCCTCATATATCCAACATTTCGGACTTGTGATGCGTCGCACCAATGAGGCGTCGGACTTACGGCCGGCGGGCGGACCCCTTCCGTTCTATAACATAAAGCGCGCGAAAAATAACCTCCGGGCAATCGTACATTACTGACACATTGTAAAAGTTGGTACCGTATAGTTCTGTGCAAAACCCCTTACACCAGGGTCTTGTGTTGAAACAATATCAGAGGGTTATTCCCATTATGATCAAGCTCAGTTAACTTCGGCAGCCAGATGCCGCAAGTCCCATTTTAAAGAATAATTAAGTTAAGGCAGGTTTTAGGTATCAACTTAAATGGCAGTGGCAGCAACACTGCACTCTGCATTAAAATGAAAGTGGCCGGGGTGCATAGTGCATACCTATTCCCCAATACCGATGTTCCCCTGGCATAATAACCCTAACCCTAACCCATAACCCTTTAGTCCCTAGGATTTTGGGGAACATCGGTATTGGGGAATATCGGGTAGACCCCGGTGGCCGGTACATGACATGCATTGGATCATCGGTATCTCCACGAGATTCTTTGTTGAGTGTGGGGCCATTAAGGCCTAGCAGGGCCACCATACCCAGGTTCAATGTAGCTAAATCTCGGTTGTTTCGAATAATTATGTGTTCGTAAGGCATACGAATACAACTTGTTTCAAAACGCAGAGTTTATCATGACCGTAGTTTAAACAGGTTGGAAGTTTGCCTACTGCGGTGTAGCCTATACTTTTGTGTCCCGCATGGCCTCCGGGTGTATCGCTTCAATTCTCACTAGATCTGCAGAAGAAAACCCATTCAAATCGTTCTAGTTATTGCCGGAATGCTCTTTAATCATAAATTCTCTGCATTCATTGGATCTGGCAGACTGTGACTTCTGCCGATAATGGCATCGCCATTGCTGGTCCAGACAACGTTGAAATTGCATCGTCACATGCACTGGGTCTCGTTTTGTATAGAACTTCGCATAAAACTTTGTATAAATTCAAACAGTCTCGGCCAGCGCCAGGGGCATAAAAAATTATATTAGATACCTCACAATTTAAAATTCACTTTTTGGCACTGGAATGAATTTCATTGTTGCATGCCTAAGGGTTTTTGTGCGAGTAGTATTATGATTTACTGACACGGCGGCCATCATGGATATCTTAATTCCAAAAGCCGATGTAGCGAGTTGGTATCAAAGGTCTCAAAGAGCAATGCCTAAAGTGTAAAAAAAAAAAAGGAAATGATTTATTTGGACCCTGGACAGGCGGCCTGGTTTACAGGCGGTGTGCTCTTAAAAAGCGATAGAAAATCGGCGAACAGGATGTTTCAAAATGTAACTTTTCCCCGCACATCGTACTTCAGACCCGCCATTGCAACGGTTTTCATTGCAACAGTATAGGTCGCAGGGCAATGGCCCCATCAATAAGCCCAATTGCATGTTTATCAGATATCGTGAACAATGCTTATCTATATAAGTCTATCAATATTAATTTTTTTTTATCAGTCGGGAAGGCAATGAAGGCCTGTATTTCATATTTTATAAATTCATACGGCAAAGCTGTTGTTCAGTTTATTTCACGGAAAGAATATCGCATCGTATGATACCACATCGCCCCGCTATCACATAACACCTCATGCGGCCATGCCTGTGGATTTGGTGAGAAACTTGTCTGGAAAATACACTTTTCAGAGTAAAAAGACACTTTCAGAAACAAATATGAAATATAAAAAATGGGGTCGGGAGTGAAAATCGAGGCGGGAGGTGATGAAAACGAATACAATCAATGTTGAATGGCCTAATATTGTTGCCTATTTAATGTCAAATTAGGTTTTGCCCTTCACCGACGTTTTCTATTTAATGTCCTCATTTAAAATTCAAATCGATATAGTTGGCCCCTTGAAATCGTCCATTGTTATGTAACATGATGTGACCTTGAAAAAAAATCTCATTGACATGCAAATATCTGAAGAAAAAAAGGTGGCGCGCTTGTGTGACGTCATTGCCCAGGGCTAACTTTGGGGTGTTGGCTGGGTCGGAAGCATACATTCTGCAAACTGCAGACGTCTCGACTGGACGAAATCCGTTACCTTTGCAGGTTAGTGAAGGGGTTTTAGCTGGTATACTTGTATCTTTCTGCTCGTCGCGCCCATAATATCGATGCCAAATGGCCTTACTTGCCAAAATGCCGTATAATTACATTTTGTTGCACACGAAACAGTCATTCTAGGCCGCAAGAGTACCGAACCATGTACTGTAAAGGTCTAGGGCCTATTGCCCAACAACGGTATCTGCAAAAAAAATCAAAATTGAGACATGCCACCTATTGGCTTCGTCACGGTGGAACACTAATATTGCCCTACATGCAGTATAACGAAAATGCAAAATGGCAAACTTAGGTTTTTTTTCACCATACACACAGAGTAATGTGAAACTTCTTACTGCCATTTTTCTTATTTTCACCTTTTCGCTGATACTGCAGTATTGACTCGGTGACTGTTTGCAGCAAAGGCCATGGTCCAGACCAAATGTTGGTACCATCTGAGGTGGCAAAACTCTAATAGTGTTAATTTCTTTGTTTCACCACTTTCTTCTTTTTGATGCGATTACTCATTTAACGTAAACCCTATGGGTATATCAGCAGGGGGCGGGGCCACAACCTCCCAAAATGATACTTATTATAATAACTCCTGAATGCTTCGGCTGATCGGCATGAAATTCGGTGATCTCTCCAAACAGGCACGTAGGAAGATGATTTTAACAGGGGGGGGGGGCAGATTATATTTTGTGAAACAACGGCATACCCAGGATTTTGTCTTAGGTGGGCTCAAAGAAAAAAAATACTCTCACAAATTAACTAGGCCTATATCAGATATAGGATCCAGGATTTTTTTTAGACGGGGGCACACCTTTGGAGCAATTTTGCTCCGAGAACTAATGCGAGTACGGAGTGCGAAGCCCTTTCAGGTGTGGGGTCCGGGGCCCGTTTAAGGTCCCCGGGAAATTTTGGATTCTATAGATAGGCCATCAGCTGAAACTCAAAAACCGGCTTTAAAATGAGTTTCGTTCCAGCAACACTGGGTCTACTTTTTTAATGCACATATGTGGTGTTCAGTACATCACAAACACTGTGTTAGAAGTTCTCCATCAAATCTGCTGCAGTTTTTTTTGTTACACTTCGTCAAAGTTTGCCAATGTTATGTACATGTATGTATGCTAAAAACCCACATTATCCGGTTTGAGGCCTTGCGTTGGCACTTCCAATTTCAAAACTACAGCACTATAGCTTGTCACATCCTACACTCTAGAAACTCCTGGGTCAGACTGACACACAATCTGAATCCAAATCTGCTCAGTCCTTTTCCGGGTCAAAAATTGACCCCATTTTGAGTCATAAATGACCCCTTTGGAGTGAAAAAAAGACATGTTTCTCGGTCATAAATGACCCCTTTGTAGTAAAAAAAAAAGACAGGTTTCTCGGTTATTTGAAATTTAAGATGCTCTGTGGTGCAATCTGAGGCGAATCCTGGCCCCTTTCCTCTGAATTATTTGAGCAAAAGTTTTTAAGATTATAAGGATTTTAAAAAATTAACTCTTGCTTTTACAAATTCTAAGTTATACTGTGTACTTCAAAGTTGCAAACCACGTGGTTTCGTCTTCATATTTTCTTGCATTTCATTTTTGAAAAGGGATTGCATTCATGACTTAGTTTTGTAAACTGTTGCAACAATGTGTTGGGGCATTTGCTCCGAGGCTAGGTGGTGCAATCTGAGGCGAGATCCTGGCCCTCTTCCTCTGAGCTATTTGAGCAAATGTTTTAAGATTATAGGGATTTTTTTCATTGGTATAAAATACACTCTTGCTTTTACAAGCCTTTTAAGTTTCTTCTGTTCTTCACTTGATAACCATGTATTTTCATCTGCATAATTATTTTCATGCATTTTATATTTCAAAAGGAATTGTATAGACTTAGTTTGTAAACTGTTACAAGGATGATTTCTTATGTTTTGTTTCAAGTTGAAATTTTCAGTTTGTCAATAAGAACAAAACCGCTTGAAGATGTAAATTTAATTCAAGTTCAAAATTAGTGTAATTTAATCAAACTAAAGCAGAGGAGCAATTTGGCCTTCACAGTCTAGTGGTTGCGAAGGGCGATTTCTAAAGGTTTCGTAACACTATGTTTTGAATGAAACTACAGGTACACACACAACCATCAATTTCGGATTCAACACCCCAAATTAGGTAAAATAGCTATGTTACCAACTTCTTCTCGAAAATACCTCTCCTTGCCCTAAATGAGCCCTTTTTTGAAATATCGCCTAGTCTAATAAGCTACACAAGTGAGTCATTTGAGTTATTATCGTAAAAATGAGTCATTTTGTCCGTGTAGCGTGTCACTACACGGACAAAATGACTCATATTTTTACGATAACGGTCAAAAAGGCCTAACTGACATTAGACTTTGGGTGTACTAAAGGCTACCATGTGAACTATAGATGTGCAGCAATAAAAAAAAATAGCAGCTCGACTTTGCCACCTGGGGCGGATGTGGGGGCCCTGGATCATGGACTATTGACCTCTGGCCGCACAATAGAAGTGCTGAGGTGATTCTGCACCCAGTGCGGAAAATAGCATTCATTAGCATATAACCAGGTGCGCCTCAAAAGTGGAGCGGCAGCAATTTCGGAAACTGTGTCGCCCAACCAAGGTCACCGTCAGACGCCATTATATCAGTGAAAAGGAGTGCGCTGTGTAAAACCAATTTTTACAACCGTGTAAAGGCCTGCAAATGCAATCAAGCAAGTTATTTTTTTTACAGGGCATTATATTCTTTCAAAATTCGTTCAGAAAAGAAAATTGGATTGTTTTAAAGAAAAGTACGTACATACCAACTTTAATGACAGCTGTCGAGTGAAAAGGCCACAGCCAGTTGCTGAAAATATTGGGCTTATTCATGTGAACGAGGGCAAAATGTTTGACCACTCATAAATATGTAAGGGGTGACAGATAATACAGTGATAGTTTCAAAATTTGACTTGAGCAGAGTTTTAGTCAAGCAGAGTTGTATATAATTGTACTACTGAAGGCAATGGATTCGTTGTTTGACTTAACAGTTGTTTTGAGTTATCAGAGTTTGACTTATCGAGATTGCACTGAAGTTATAATTTATTTTCTTAAAAATGATTGCTGCAGTAATTTCCTTTGTACCTGTTTTCATACCCATGCTGGAAGTGAATTAATATGAGTCGTAATCTAAGTAAAAAGCTCGGTCCCCGATTTTTGTCGCATGAAATTTAACGTTTCTGTGTGTTCTACCTGTTGTGAGGAAACATATTATGTCAGTACAGTGATAACCCAGCTGATGTTGCTAAGACACGAAATGTTTGAGGTCTCGGGCTGGAATCCTGATAAGAATTTATGACCAATTTATCATCTCAAAAGCATCTTCATGCGGTCAAAAAGCAAGGATGATTTCTTATGTTTTGTTTCAAGTTGAAATTTTCAGTTTGTCAATGAGAACAAACCGCTTGAAGATGTAAATTTAATTCAAGTTCAAAATTAGTGTAATTTAATCAAATTAAAGCAGAGGAGCAATTTGGCCTCCACAGTCTAGTGGTTGCGAAGGGCGATTTCTAAAGGTTACGTAACACTATGTTTTGAATGAAACTACCTGTACACACACAACCATCTATTTCGGATTCAGCACCCCGAATTAGTTAAAATAGCTATGTTACCAACTTCTACTCGAAAATGCCTCTCCTTGCCCTAAATGAGCCCTTTTTTGAAATATCGCCTAGTCTAATAAGCTACACAGAAAACCCAAGTGAGTCATTTGAGTCATTATCCTAAAAAATGAGTCATTTTGTCCGTGTAGCGTGTCACTACACGGACAAAATGACTCATATTTTTACGATAACAGTCAAATAGGCCTAACTGACATTAGGCTTTGGGTGTACCACCTTGAAAAGACTACCATGTGAACTATAGATGTGCAGCAATAAAAAAAAAATAGCAGCTAGATATTGCCACCTGGAGTGGTACAATTGGCGGATGTGGGGGCCCTGGGTCATGGACTATTGACCTCTGGCCGCACAATAGAAGTGCTCAGGTGATTCTGCTTCCAGCGCGGAAAATAGCATTTATTAGCATATAACCAGGTGCGCCTCAAAAGTGGAGCGGCAGCAGTTTCGGAAACTGTGTCGCCCAACCAAGGTCACCGTCAGACGCCAATATATCAGTGAAAAGGAGTGCGCTGTGTAAAACCAATTTTTACAACCGTGTAAAGGCCTGCAAATGCAATCAAGCAAGTTTTTTTTTTTACAGGGCATTATATTCTTTCAAAATTCGTTCAGAAAAGAAAATTGGATTGTTTTAAAGAAAAGTACGTACATACAAACTTTAATGACAGCTGTCGAGTGAAAAGGCCACAGCCAGTTGCTGAAAATATTGGGCATATTCATGTGAACGAGGGCAAAATATTTGACCCATTATGTAAGGGGTGACAGATAATACAGTGAAATCTTGATAAGTCAAACCTCAAGAGGACAGTTTCAAAATTTGACTTGACTGAGCAGAGTTTTAGTCAAGCAGAGTTGTATATAATTGTACTTCTGAAGGCAATGGATTCGTTGTTTGACTTAACAGTTGTTTTGAGTTATCAGAGTTTGACTTATCGAGATTGCACTGAAGTTATAATTTATTTTCTTAAAAATGATTGCTGCAGTAATTTCCTTTGTACCTGTTTTCATACCCATGCTGGAAGTGAATTAATATGAGTCGTAATCTAAGTAAAAGCTCGGTCCCCGATTTTTTTCGCATGAAATTTAACGTTTTTGTGTGTTCTACCTGTTGTGGGGAAACATATTATTATGTCGCACAGCGTCACCGACACCACGAAGTAACACTCTACCGTGTTAAAGATTACTTTTTTCGATTTTCAGTTTTTTGGAGTTTTAAACATTATTCATCAAGGCCTACCATTGCACGAAGTTAAAAAGCTTCAAGAGCTTTACTTTAATAATTACGCTAAGTATCCATAGCAACTTTTGCGCAGGAGTGACAATTTTCGTTTTCACGAAGTAACACTCAAGTTCCATTTTCCATTGCAATGCATGGCGCGCACTCTGCTCATAAGTGAGCAAAAACGTTTTCACGAAGTAACACTCTTCTTGTAACAAGTTGTATGAGCGCGCGCGCGCTGACCTGAAGTTGCACTTTCCTCGTGTTAAATACATTGAAGAGTGTTACTTCGTGAAAACGAAAATTTACAGTTTCGCAGCTTTTTCGGTTTCACGAACTAACACTCATCTTTTTTCTCTTATTTCTTGTTTATTTAATACACAAACGAGTGAAAAACAGCAGATTTAATAAATACAATTCATCAAGTGTCCACAGCGAGAAACCCAATTGAAAATACTCTGTCGTTTTCACGCAAAGTGTTGTTTTAGAAGGCGTTCAACTTTAGTTGCTGTTTTCTCCGATTGCTAGTTTTTACTGGTATGTAGATGGGTGTTACTTTGTGGTGTCGGTGACGTGGTGATAATCCAGCTGATATTGCTTAGACACGAAATGTTTGAGGTCTCGGGCTTGAATCCTGATAAGAATTTATGACTAATTTATCATCTCAAAGCATCTTCATGCGGTCAGAAAACCAAGTTCTGCATAAAGCAGTTAAATGTTCAACTGCGAAATACGGTAGAGAAAATTGCAGGTATAATGTTATGTTAATCTCTTCTGTATGGGAAGAAGTGTGGGTCGGTTCTGAAAACAGCCGCGTTTGGTTGAGTGCGGTGCCCCCGGCGCACCCAACATTTGGCTTGGGCTCCCATTTTTTCCCAAATTCTTTTTAGAAGTTTGAATCAAACAAAAAAATGTATTGCCGCAGAAAATATATGGGGGGGGGGGGGAGACGGACATTTTGACGTTGGTGGCGCCATTTACACCCCTATTAAAGTACTGGAAAACAGGCCACATACATCAACACCGTCAAGTTATGGGACTTAAAAATGTATTAAAAGAAATTGACAACCTCCAAGCCCCCGAGCCCCCACCCCCTCCCCCTTGGGCGCGCCACTGCAGAAAAGATTGTTTTCCACATGGTGTTACCTGCAATTTTCTCCACCTTATTCCATCTACCATGCAAAGCTTCTACTCATATATGCTACAAAATATTTTAAGAACCCAGCATCACCTTAACGCCGTTGCCTCATGGCAACAATGGCCGAGATCTTAGGGGGCCCCGGCTGAGAGATGGTCAAAATAACCCGGCCCTTTTTAGGGTTAAAATTGTTTTGCTTTGTTTTCTGTAGACAGACGGTTGTAGGGCCTACACTACCGTTACAACACGATGGAGCACAGAGCAGTAAAGCGACAAAAGGTATGTACGGAAAGACGACAGTGAATGTCGATTTTGCCTTACGACGGCTTATTCAATCCCATTTCTTTCGTTTACATATCCATAATTGTATCCATTGACATCGTTTCAGAAGAGGCACCCTGAGACGAGGAGCCTAGCTGATTCCGCTCACGCGAAAGAGTCTACGTATCTGCTGGCACAACCGGGTATTTTCTACACCAGGCCAAAGTACGGTTGTATGGTAGTGGTCAATTTAAATGACAAGACCGAGACCGGTAAGACAGGCGTTTTTAACGCCATACAAGCCATTCAGCAAAAGTGCGACCTGTTGCAAGGACGAAACGGTTATGTCGTCTCTTTTGACCCAGCCTTGTGGAAAACATGGAGCCCGAATGACGACATCGAAGACCGACCACAAGGCAATTATATGTTGTCTTCATCCCGAAAGTTTGTCAACACAGGAGGCGATGTTTCCTTCTTTCTGAAGTCTGACACCGAAGACGTCGTACCAAAGCTTTTCCAAGAAGTAGAAAACAACCTCCATGGTCTGGCTTCGCTTGATGTCACCCACACCCGGGTTTACAATGATCGTGCCATTAACGGGAAGTTTCGAGACGGCGTTGCCAATCCAGTCGACAAGACTACCGTCGAACGTTTCATCCTGACTCCACAGACGACCACTCCAAGATCCGGGGGTGGTAGTTACTTCTACACGCAAAAGTTTCGGATGAACTTCAGCATATTTGACGAAATGACCATCCGCCAGCAAGAGAACGTCATCGGCAGAAAGGTTACAGATGAAATCGTCATCGGGGCCGATTCAAGAAGTCACATCCGTCGAGCGCGTCTGGCTGAGGCTAGTATTCATTTGAAGATTCTTCGGGGGAGCATGCCCTACGGACGTGATGATACAGGCCAGGAAATGGGTCAGGAAGGAATCTACTTCAATGCTTTCGCTGATCACTTTCAGCTGTTTCTCGATCTTATGCAAAGCCTTGTAGGAGACGACCCCGATTTCACACAAGACAAACTCATTTCAATGACTCAAGGCATCGAGGGAAGTTTCTGGTATACACCAAGTTTGTATCAGCTCGGCTTTACCGACGAACCGGACGTAGGCCAGGCCCCGACCCTTGACTTCCTGCCTTTGTGGGACGTGAGAAGCACCAACGACTACATGTTTTACAACTGGCGCGAATATCTCCACCGTATGAGCTTTGGTTTGTATGCTCCCGGAGATCCACCGACACATCGTGTTATCAAGCTCCTGTCCGTGATTTTCTCCGAGTGGAGTGACCAGTGGTATGAAAAACCACACACTGCCCGCATTCCCCATCTGAGCAACTATTTGACGGCAGCAGAAAAGCCATATCTGGAGGAATCCGCGGCCATTCGCAAAGGCATGGCGATCAAGAAGACGCTGGGCACTTTGATACCGAAAACAGACTATGGCACAAAAAACGACCTCTTCCGCATACACCCGAATGAGCTGATTGTCGGTGTCATGCCCAGATTCTCTCTTGGTGTCGGCAAGTATGTCATGCCCTACTCTCGTGAAGAAGAAGAGTTTCCTTGGTTTATGAAGGGTCTTAATGAGGGCGGTGCCATGGGTCACATTGTTCCCGACCACGGAATCGTGTTGGCCGTCGGCCTCGGCGTTTTAAAGAACCAACACCAAATGTTATACGCCAGAGCCCCCCGTGAACAAAAGGATTTCTACCAGTCGGTCATCCTGGCGCTGGAGGGAGTTCAAGAGTACATTGAGAGCTTTGCGAACCTGGCTGAGCAATTGGCACAAAAGGAGGAATATACGGCTGAAGAAAAACAAAATCTCCGACGCATCAACGCAAGACTGCTGAAACTGAAGACCGGCGCCCCCAGCAATATGCTGGAGGCCGTGCAGCTTCTGTTCTTGATGCACTGTTCTATGCATCTGATTGGCAACCCGGTTGCTATTGGCCGACTAGACGTCCTGCTGAGTCCGTTCTACGACGAAACGACAACGCCTGAAGCTGAAGCGCAAGAGATCTTGGACTGCCTGTGGATAAAACTGAGTGAACGTGTCGTCATTAACCGCCACTTTACACCAGACTTGCATGATCGAGGTTCCACATCGGTGATGTACGCTGCAACAGGTAACTTTGGTCAAGGAAGCGCCGTCAACCAGTGGGTCCAACAGATCACCGTTGGCGGGTACCAAGCAAATGATGACGTCACTCCAACGACGGCCTGTAACAAACTTACTCTGCTGTGTCTGAAATCGTCTCGCAGGATTCCTACTAACGCCCCATGCTTGAGTCTCAGGCTACACAAGAACATGCCAGAGAATATACTGCAGGAAGCCACAAGGGCGCTTCTTAGCGGTGGTGCACATCCGATCCTCATGCATGATGATAGACTTGTACCGAGTCTGATGAATAGTGGCTCTCCTGATGTACCCGTTAGCCTTGCGGCAGCTCGTAACTACGCATGTGACGGATGCTACGAGCCAATGATTGCGGGCGAGACCGAGTTTGCGTTTGGCATCATCATTCTGCTGAACATTCTGGAAATGACTCTAAACGAGGGAACGCTTTATGCCGACTCGGGGTCGGTATATCTTCGAGGCCTCAAAGTCTCCTATCCATCGCCACACTCCAGCCAAATCAAGACGTTCGATCAGCTGAAAGAAATCTTCCTAAAACACCTGCGAATTCAAACTGCTCAGTTTTACATCACGATTCTCTCCAACTATGGAAACCTCTGGGACATCTGCCCTTCGCCACTTCTGTCCTCCCTCATCCACGGCTGCAAAGAAAGCGGTCGTGATCTTTCCAATGGGGGATCCAACTACCACGCATTGGCTATGATGTACGTCAGTGCGTCTAACACCATCGATTCACTGTATGCCATTAAGAAGCTCGTATTCGACCCAGACGAATCCCTCACGACCTTGCCCCAACTGCTGGAAGCGCTGAAACTGGACTGGGGATTTGAAATGAGAGAACCGTTTTTCGACGAGCGTGCCGGGGAGGTGCGAGAGGATGCGAACGCAGCTACCTACAAGACGCTGAGAAAGAAGGCTCTGACTTTACCAAGATTTGGACGTGGTAATCCAGAGGTAGACGAGATAGCAAACTGGCTGATGGAAAACGTTGTGTCTATTGCCAAAGATACGATTCACCACCCTCCTTCCGTACTCGATGGCATCATCAGTGGTATCAAAGAGAAATACTCCTTACCAGGTAATCAAGCTTTGTCTACTTAGTCATTATTTAATTTTGTCCGCAACTATGCCTGTTTAGGAAAGCGCTTTGACACTGGCTTAGCACGGTTGAGATAAAATCTACATAATTCGCTTTGTTTCGATTTCACAGGCCGTCCGTTTGGTTTCGTCGTTGAACCCGGTATTGGGACGTTCGAGGGGTACGTTCCGCAAGCATTGGGTACAGGAGCCTCCGCTGACGGGCGCCGTAGTCGCCAGCCATTCGCATCGGATCTGAGTCCGTCACCTGCACCCCAGGACAAGACCGCACAACCAGCCTCGGTCAACATCTATCAGTGAGTGTCATGCTTTACTTTTGGCTTGTTTCCTAGAAATGGAAGGTCCTTACTAAAATTGTGTACTTTAGGCGCACACTGCTCTCATTTAATTGGCTAGATCGGGCCACGTTTGGAAAAAACAGCTCGTCTGGATTTGGTTCCGACCCAAAGCAAGTGTGCATTGCCATTAATACGCAGGCCGATAAACACCGTTGAGATTTTTAAAAGCATTTTTGTCTGGCTGCTACCGAGCACATGTGAACACAACCGTTTGCTTTCATTTTTTTTGCTCCACAGGCCTAAACCCATTCATTTCCGAAACTACTGATATACAGTTTTTAACGCAAGACTTGATGTTTTTAGAACCTTTAATAAAGACCCTGCAACCCCACCCGTTTCTGTTTGAAATGCCGCTTCCGGTCCTAGCCTGTTGCATTTGGGACATGAAACAGTATACGCAACAATAATTGTTCGAATCAAACTCCTCGCTTTGAAACCGTCCATGTTGTTTTCAAATGAAAGCGGATTAGTGTGTTGGAAGCTCATTTCGTCTTTGATTGTTCACTGCAGGGCCATGAGAAGTTTTGATTATGATTCCATCAACATTGGTCTGTCCAACGGGTCACCGGTCGACATGAATGTGGGCGAGGACTTCCCTGAGGCCAAGCTTCACGAGTTCATACGTCACTATGCAAATCGCACCAAACCCATCGGTTCCAATTTGATTACAGGTACAGTAACTTATTATGGTAACAAAGTTCAACTCTATAACCTTCGAAACTTCATCTTCTGTCTATTTCATTCATACAGAGGGATGTGCTTACCCTGTTTTACCTATACCCTCTGCTGCAACGGATAGCCGACATCTTTAGATTAAACGGCACATTTTTTTCCATCTTTTCCTTCCAAAAAATAGCTAGACCATATAGGCACTATCATATGCGTACTTCTAGACACTAACCCATATTTACTTCCAATGATTGGCTTCAAACAGTTCCACGGATATAAGGCTCAAAAAGTGGGAAAATATGTATAAACGACACAGCGAAGCGGGTCCGGCTGCTTGCCGTGTTCAATTTCGAACTACGGGAAATATCAGTAGTTTGAAAAACTTGAACTTAAGTTATATCTATAAGCAGCACTCCAGTTTTCTCTTCGACCACATAGTACCCGTCGGTCCGGTCAAACTAGACACGGATGCATTGTGGGCGTATATATACGCTGTTACCCCGCAAAATGTGGCAATTGCAGAATGATAAATTAACGCTTGCAAACATTTCAGCGAAGTGGGATCATTGGGCCATACTCACCCGGATTAAATACCATTATTCAACAATCATTTTCATTTTACTGTTTCACAGTCACATGCGCCAATTTGGAGACGTATCAGAAAGCAGTGGATGAACCTGAGCGGTACGACTTGGTCCGTGTACGCACTGGTGGCTGGTCGGAGCACTACGTGGCCATGTTCCCCGCACATCAAGAGCAGCACCAGCGCCGTGTTGTCTTCACACCCTTGTAGAACGGTGCGTCCAGAATGAACGCCATATAGGGTGTCCCAGAAAAAACAAACGTCCAGGCCAAATCAAGGAACCCAGAACCTATTTTCCCTGGTTCCCCATGTATAGGCAGTCTTCCTCGTGAGAAATGATCTGACGATGTCATCACAATCAGTCAGGCATTTAACCAGGCTGACATTGACATCATGTATGATTTGCTTGACCGGTGCAAGTAAATATATTCACGTAAGAATACTCCCAATCAGGATCCGTAGGAATAATATACTTTCTTGCTGTTGCGTGATTTGGTGTGGACAGTTTGTTTCTAATACACCCTCTTCAGGGTGGAGTCCAAAAATGTGGAACCCAACCCAAAGAAATATAATTCATATTAAAAAAAAAAATATGTGGCACCAAAAATAATGATGACTGGCAATAAGCTACTTTTAGATGAAAAAAAATGATTTAATTGCTGAATCCGTTAAAAGTATATCACCATTTAAACGAAATGACCCTAGAATCGGTTTTGTCCCCTAAAAAAATGCGATTTCAACATCGTATAAATTGTTTTCAAACATTACCTGCGATAAAACCTCAGTTTAAAAGTTGAAAATATTCACTAAAGTACTGTTGAAGGCCCGCCCTTTGAAAAGGTGGATTTATAAATCATATTGATAGCCCAAGCAGGGTTGTTAATAAAGATATTGTGTACTATACAGTTATTAAAACAAGTATTCTGTATATTTTCTACGTTGTTCCAAACGTCAGAACACACACAGAAATTGATTTTTTTTTAATACAAAACTGATTTTAAGGTTACTTAATTTATTACTGATAACATTTTAACGTGTGGAGCAATATTGAAATAATTTCGTACTGAAAGTCGTGTAATGAATGGACTTCTGGAGTCATATTATTTTGGTGTTACATATTTTTTCAATACGAAATACATATTTCTTTGGGTTTGGATTCCGCTTTTTTGAACTCGCCCTGTAAAAGGTGTATTGGAAACAAACCACCCTGTATATTATGAAGGCCTGCTTTCCACTTGGCCAAGTAATTGTAATGGTAGTTTAAAACTGTTCACGTAGACTCATTTATGTTTAGTAGTCATCATTTTCCTAGCTGGATTGATACCCCATATAAAGTTCCTACGAGTACTATGTGCAGTGTTATGTGGGTTTGAAGTGAAATCCAATTTGCTAACAATTTGTGTGTGTTATGTGGGTTTGAAGTGATCATTTAAAATTTGCTAACAACTAAGTACATTTGCCATGTTATTGATTGCAGTGTTATTGCAGTGAAACTGACAATTAGTGGTGCGGGGCTAGCTAAGCGTAAATATTAAAACAAAAGGCGTATAACAGATATCGCGTCCATCACAGATATGAAACTTGTTATTCTTGTAGTTGTAGAGGATTTTTAGAATGTTACTGCGTCAGATCAGAGAGGCTTAGTGCTATCGATTGTAGTCTTGCTAAAAAGAAATCAATAATGATCTATTCGTGCTTATATGAAACAACAGAACAAATGTTGAACAGGTCTTTTTTTTAGAGTCAATATTACATAAACTAAGCGAGAACATCGTAATTTTGGGAGTAATGAAGTTAGAATTATATGTCTAGACATCGAACCAAGAGTTACAAGCAGTCTGTACACTAACTTTATTTTAAATAATCAAGACAGCCAATACAGTAAGGAGGATTTTTAAACAATTGTTTATTATGCTAATATTTAGAAAAAGATTTAGTGGGCTGATTTCAATATTGCCCAAAGGAATTTCCATTTCTCCAGACATTTGAAAGCAATAGGAATGTCGATTATAGATAATTCTTTTATATAAAAGCAAAAGGAGAGCATAGACATTGATGGATTATTTTATATGCTCCAAATAGACATACATTTTACTCTAAGGGGATATTACAAGGGAGAACATTTTTATGTAGAGGCAGCGCACAACTTTAAATAACCATGACAAACTGTAGTAGACAGTATTTTAGAGAATTGAATGCCAAAATCGAAGACTCAAATTAAGAGAGAGAGATAGAGATTTGGAGGCGTTGTTTTGCCCTAAAAAGCAAGAGTCTACATCAGAGAATCATTAGATGTTAAAACATTTTTACAAGTAACATTTACAGCGCTTGTGTTAGTTTTAGATTTTAAGTAAATTGTAGTGGTTTTGTAGAGAATTGTAAGCCTTTTTTCTAAAGAGTGTCGCTAACTTTGGCTTTGTATGCGCTTGTGTTAGTTTTAGATTTAAAGTAAATTTTAGTGGTTTTGTAGAGAATTGTAAGCCTTTTTTCTAAAGAGTGTCGCTAACGTTGGCTTTGTATGCTTAGAGAACTTTGCAGTGGCTTAGATGATTTTGTTGACATTGAGTAAATTAGAGATTTGTATGCTGAAATCGAGTAAAATCTGATATAGGGAGCTCAATTAGTCAAATCTGATTTGGATGCAGTGACTATAATGACCAGTCTAGTGAGTGATTTTGATTTACTGGAAATTACCAGAGAGCTTCATAGTGATGTGTAGACGAGTGAAGAATTTATTTTGCTTTGATCTTATTCTTTATTTTTTTTGTATGTAGGGTCCTCAAAGACAATCAGGTAATATAGTATTTTGGTTAAAATTAGACAATTCTATAATTTTACTTTCAGTGTGTTTAGACATTGGGTACGTAAGAATAGCAGATTGAACACAATGTTCTTTGTTGTAGGCACGCACGCGCGTTCGTTACTGTGGTCACGTGGCGTGGACTCGGAGCTTGTGGTCACTATCTTCTTGATTGACCACTATGTTCGTGGGAGCAACTAGGCTTTTTGGTAACTTGTTTGTCGACTTTTTAGGCCAATTTACTGTCAAATTTGCGCATGTGAGCATGGAAAGCGCTCGCGGCGCAGCCATGTCTACACCCCAAACCGTTTGCTGTGTTCATTGCTCATAGCTTGATAATTTGTGTGCATAATTAATTACGGTGGTTGTGTTTAAAATTCTGTAACTTTAATAAAGAACATGTGATGTGAATGATTCTTGCACTAAAAGAAAGGTTAATAACTTCCATATCCTAGATTTAACACACCAGGGATGCTTTCAGTGGTATTTTAATGCTAGAATAATTATCATTAGGAAATTAGAGGAAAACCAATAAAATAATCAGCCTATTAGCATAGTTTTTTTGCTCTGTTGTGAAGTTTTTTCCTGCTTGACGTCTGCACGCGCCGTCCCAAACTATAACATTGGCGGCCGATTCCCCGGTTTATTCCTCATCAGGCACCACCCGTTTACCTATCAGGTTTCGAGTGGTCCAGCTATTACCTTCGTTTATCTTTCTGGGATATTTCTCCGCGACTTTTCTCCCAGACTAGTCTCCCATCGTCGGGTGTTAATCAGACTTAATGTATTTGGTCTGCATTTACCGTTAAGTGACATACTGCCCTCATCGTTGAGTATTTACCACTTTTTATCTCTAGTTATAGATGCGGACAGCCCGCGGCGTAAACTAGGGTTAAACTTCGAAGCAGGTGGGGGAGGGGGAGCAGGAATTTTTCAAGTGAAGGCACTGATCTATTGCTTTTGCCGAAGTCAAATTTCTAATATTGGGGACTGTATCCCCCTCTAACCCAGTAGCGTATCCAGCTTTTGATGTCGGGGGGGGGGGGGGGGAGGGGGAGGGGGAGGGGGAGGGGAGGCGGTTAACCGCACATCCACGCCGAAATGTAGACATTTTTTTTTTTAATTCTCCGGACACCTCGCCTCCGTAAAATCAAAAAGCGCGGTGGGGGGGGGGGGGGGGGGGGGGGGGCTGGTACCCATCTTCCAAATAGGGGAGCTCTTCAAAACCGACCATTACTATGCATACTGCAAATACTATATGCCTATTTTCACGGCGCATGGTAATGGTTTTGCAGCGGGTTTTCTTATTTAGAATTTGGGATCAGTACTCTCTAACCATTTTATTGAAATATGGTCAAAAAAATCCGCCGGCAATTAAGTCCGGATATGCTACTGTTCTACCACTGCACTGTATGGACGGCTGCTAGGCTGATAATGTCAGTGAACATATTTGTGTACGGGGGTACAGTTTACAAGCAAATTTAATAAGCCCGGCGAATGTTTGTTCCAATTACACACGTTATTTATTGTCAAATGAGCCTTTTAAGACGACAGTGGAAATGCTTATGATATTATCCTAGTGGGTAATTACAACTGATCCTTTACTGGTGACAATGTGAGTGTGTACGCGGTCTAAACCAGTTCTAAATCGACTGAAAATCCAGTGTACCGAAGTATAGACGCCGTTATTTCCACACCTGGGATCTGGTGGTTAATTTCAAATTAATATGCCAAGGAAAATGCCTACATATGATTTATCTATTTAATTAATTTCAACAAAAAATAATGCATTTTTGTTTTCAAACGGGCATAGGCTAAAGAGCCGCAGAAAGAGCGCAGCTCAGATAATGAGATTGATGGAAATGTTCAATAGCGCCCTCAAGATTAGTGTTACAAATGTGATCTGGTACCCTGTTCATTTCACGGTGTGCGAAGGGAAATCTATTACTGAAAAGTTCCATGACAGTCGGGGTCCTGACGAAGGTAGTAAACACGGTCGAAAACGCCGGTAAGTTGGGGAAAGACACGTGTCCTTAAGTTAAATTGTCATCTTTTACTATTTTTTTTCTGAAAATTAAAGGGTAAATATGTTGCAACCTGACGCCACTTTGTTCCTCATTATCATCTCAATAAAATTCATTCATTGAAAAAATAACGACAAGATATGAATCTGGGACTGTATAGTCGTGTTCCCTAGCCCGACTGCGTCTGGCCGTACAGTACTATCGCAAGCTCTGTAGTACGGCCAGACGCCAAATGCTTCCAAAAAGACTGCATTTTTTTTGCCGCTGATGTAGCGATTTTGCTACAGATTTCGACCGAGATTATCTTTTCATCCAGGATTTCCAAAATTAAGGTTCTTAGTCGTAGAGAAAGCCATACCTTTTCGAAAAAAACGTTCTTTGGTCTCAATATTTTCATCCATGTGGCAAAAAGACGACTTTCAGTCATCATCTTCCACAAATATCGTCCCGAAAATGCTCCCCCATGGGATTTCAAAATGGCGGCCGCGCTGTAATGTATGCATTATGCGAGCGCGCTTGGGCAAGATAATGAATATGCATCATAGTTTATGACGTTTGTCGGACACCCGGCGCGGCTGGCCATACAAACACGAGGTCATGATCTAAATAATGCATATTGCGCAGTGGTGGTTCTGCGGGGGGGGGGGGGGGGGGGGGGCTAAGTGTCCGGAGAAAATAACCGGTCTACATTTCAGCACGCTTCCCTGAAAAAAAAATTCTGGACCAACCCTGCTAACCGCCCCCCCCCCCCCCCGCAACAACAACAAAAATATTGGCTCTAGAACCGCGCCTGACCTTGTGAAGTGGGCGCATAACTCACCGTTGGAAGAAAACTTATATAAGAGCAAATCTGCTTTATAATAAAGGAACAATGGTAGGCGGCGAGGAACAAATTCCTGGAAAGGGACCTACTAGGTCTACCGTTTAAATAGAAAAAAAAAAGTTGTTCAAAGTGAGAGTGATATTTATTTTGTCTGAAATGGCATCGTTTGGATTGGAAGAAAATATTTGACGGTGCTTTAAAAAGTGTGCCCTCGATGACATTTCTAATTATCCGCCTTTTGCAGCGTGCGTGCGTCATTACAAATTTAGCAACATTACCCCTACATTTTGCTCTGTTTTCTTGCTTAATTTTAAATTGGCAGATTTTGTTGTCCAGTGTCGCATTTTTCAATAGGTAGTTGACCGCAAAAAATAGTCAATTTTGGATAATACACTATTGAAGACTTAAGGGTGATGGACCATTTGCTACTGTTCAAAAATGAAACTCCAAGTAAATTATGGCATATACTAAATTTGATGCGAACTTTACTTGGAATATCACGGTGCCAATGCTCTCATTTTTCAAGGAAGAAGGGATTTACCACCTTGGCGATGGTACTCAGAACCAAACCATATAGCGCAGTGCCGACAATTTTGCTTTAGCCTACGTCCAGACAACTAACTTGTGATGCACTTGCATTTTTTTTAATGGTGTATGTACCGAGTTGATATTTCGAGAGGTAGGCCTCAGATTTTTACAGATTTATTGTACAGTGCCTTTGAATATGGCCATTTTACAACATCACGAAATATCCACTGTTGCCTATTGTTCTTCAGGGTCATTGCGTTTAAATGATGATATTGTTTCAACGGATTGAGCAATTTCAGTAATTTTGTCCTTTAAAAGTTGCTTATGAAATTGGCTTTCCAGTCACTATTATGTTTGATGCTACATGTTATTTTTAGTATGAAGTATGAAATACAATTATTTTGGGGGGTTTGGGTTCCGCTTTTTTGACTCACCTTGTATGTTGCAGGCCGGTTTATTTTATTCCAATATTCATTTAAAAATCTAATCGATATAGTTGGCCCCTTGAAATCGTCCATTGTTATGTAACATGATCTGACCTTGAAAACAAATCTCATTGACATGCAAATATCTGAAGAAAAAAAGGTGGCGCGCTTGTGTGACGTCATTGCCCAAGGCTAACTTTGGGGTGTTGGCTGGGTCGGAAGCATACATTCTGCAAACTGTAGACGTCTCGACTGGACGAATTACCTTTGCAGGTTAGTGAATGGGTTTTAGCTGGTATACTTGTATCGTTCTGCTCGTCGCGCCCATAATATCGATGCCAAATGGCCTTACTTGCCAAAATGCCGTATAACTACATTTTGTTGCACACGAAACAGTCATTCTAGGCCCAAGAGTTCCGAACCATGTACTGTAAAGGTCTATTGCCCAACAACGGTATCTGCATAAAAATCAAACTTAGTTTTTTTCACCATACACACATAGTAATGTGAAACTCCTTACTGCCATTGTTCTCGTTTTCACCTTTTCGCTGATACTGCTGTCTTGACTCGGTGACTAATTGTAGCAAAGGCCATGGTCCAGACCAAATGTTGGTACCATCTGAGGTGGCAAAACTGTAATAGTGTTAATTTCTTTGTTTCACACCACTTTCTTCTTTTTGATGCGATTACTCATTTAACGTAAACCCTATGGGTATATCAGCAGGGGGCGGGGCCACAACCTCCCAAAATGATACTTATTATAATAACTCCTGAATGCTTCGGCTGATCGGCATGAAATTCGGTGATCTCTCCAAACAGGCACGTAGGAAGATGATTTTAACAGGGGGGGGGGGCAGATTATGTTTTGTGAAACAACGGCATACCCAGGAGTTTGTCTTAGGTGGGCTCAAAGAAAAAAAATACTCTCACAAATTAACTAGGCCTATATCAGATATAGGATCCAGGATTTTTTTTAGACGGGGGCACACATTTGGAGCATTTGCTCCAGAACTAATGCGAGCACGGAGCGCGAAGCCCTTTCAGGCGTGGGGGCCGGGGCCCGTTTAAGGTCCCCGGGAAATTTTGGATTGTATAGATAGGCCATC